CACTCTCCAGGCTCCACTGTCCGTGCAATTTTCCAGGCAAGAATACTTGAGTAGGTTGCCATTTCCTACTCCAAATTTTCTTGAATTGTTTGTTTATTTTCGGCCCCTCCTTCTGGAATGTGTATCATTTGCTTCTCTTTATTTTCCTCCAAGGGTACTCTCTGCAAGTCATCCTCCAGACCACTAGATGGATTGCAATGACCCTCCTTGTTGACAATTCATCTAGTTAAGTTTTTTATTTCAGAAATCAGGTCCAGGAAGTCATTTTGGGATTTCACTGGCATTTCTATAGGTCTGCTTGTTTTAGTTTTTGTTTTATGTAGTAAGCCAATACATGGGTTTTAAAAAATAATCAAATTAACACACTGCTTCATTTTCAAAACAGAAGACTATTATGCCATTGACAGTTGGACATAAATTCCTACTTTTCTCAAACAGAAGCTTTGTATGTACATCTCTCTCCTTACCCAAAGTTTTACTGACATACATCAAGCCCTAAGAACAGGACCCTGCACCAAGTGAGGCACCAATAAATATTTAAGTATTTAAATACTTAATTCAAATACCTCCTTTGAAATTGGGGTTGATATCATTCCTGCTTTAAAACAATGTACATCCATAAGCACTACTTATGTTTTTTCCTCTCCTCATGCCTTCTTTTAAAATTGTCAATGGGTAATTTTTAAAATTACCATTCGATAAAATTGACCATTTTTTCATGTACAGTTCCATGAATTTTAATACACTTAAGTTTTATTGTTGTAATTAATATTACTTAGCTGTTGCTCTGTTTCCTTGCGCTCTCACTAGATGTGGGGAGCAGTATAAACTCCTCGGAAATGTCCACGTCCCTGTAACGTGTGAGTATGTTACCTTACAAGTAAGGGCCCCTGAAAAAGGGGACTTTGCAGAGGTGATGAAGAATCTGAAGTGAGGAGATTATTCCCTCACCGAGATTATCAGATTATCCAGGTGGGCCCAACATAATCATGGGGGTCCTCAGAAGATGGAAAGAAGGCAAAAGGATCAGAGAGGTTGAAGCCAAGAGTCTGGAGTGTGTGTCCAAGAGCCAAGGAGTGTGGGCAGGCCTTAGGAGCTGGAGAAGGCAAGGAATGGATTCTCCTTGAGACCCTCCAGAAGGAATGTTAGCCCTGCATTTTCGATTGATTTCTGACATCTAGAACCATGAGATGAATAAACTGGTGCTCTTTTAAGCCACCAAGTTTATGGTAATATCTATATAGATGCAATAAGAAACTAATCCACTAGATTCATTTTCTGATTGTTCTGCCTGATGTTCTTCTCTCTGGCTTCTGTTCAGGTGGGCAGTTATTTTTCTCTTTGGCTCCATGGAACTTAGGTCTGGTTGCTGGACACTTCTTGACCATAGGAATCCCATCAGCAGGGGAAAGCTCTCAGGCCTGGTGGAGCTGCATTCTCAGGCAAGGTGCCTTACCCACACTAGCCTCAAGGACAGAGAAGCTTCAGCCCACTCATGAAGCTCCCTCCGCTGATATACCCTTGAGATTGGGACTGAATCCTACCCCTGAACATATACACAGATCCAAACCCCAAGTCTTCTTGACTGTCACCCCCAGGGCTCTGGGGGATTCCCCAGTGCCAGTCCAGCTCATCGACAAGAGGGGATATCTGGTTCTCCAACAACAGAAACTAAGGTCTAACACAGCCTGTGGGCACAAGTCCTGGTGGCCACATGGCGCCATAACCTACTCAAGGTGCCATGTTCCCAGGATTTTCCTGACACATATCTCACTTAATCCTCCCAACAGCCTTATGAAGGTGTGTGTACTATTATGGTCTCCATTTCCCAGATGAGGAAGCTGAGGCCCTGAGAAACTTATCACCCTGACGGAGACCCCCCCACCCACCTTGAGTTAACAGAGCCAGAACTCTCTCCTCAGCACCTTCTCCCAAAGGCCCAGTTGAATAAAATATGTTCTTAGAGGGTCCAGCTCTACAGATGCCCCTCTGGGAGGGCCTCAATCAGGGACTCTCTACCCCTACCATGCATTCTGCACATCTACTGTGGCTGCAACAAACTTTTTGTTTAGCCATTTAAAGCTACTGACTGCTCACACAAGCGTTTTAATGGAAATCCATGGTGTGCCTATTAGCTCAGGAAACATCTGTTCTGGTGTTGTCAGAGAATCTTGGACAGAAAAGCTCTTTTTGATCTGTCTGCGTGCAGGTACATGTGTGTGTGTGTGTGTGTGTGTGCACAGATGTGTGTTATTGTGTGCCTCTGTACATGTGCACAAGTGCATGGGTGGGTTTTGGCCATGTGGGCGGGCATGGGTGTGGGTGCATGTGCCCACTCAGGTGTGTGTACCTGTGCCTGCACACATATAGGAAAATACATTTTTTGTTATTAAAGATTCTTTAGAATCGGCTCCTGGGTAATTCTAACCCAGGTGTGACGCTTTTTTTTTTTTTTTTGGCCATGGCAATAAATGATTCTTGGGTTTGCACCCCTAAAAGTGAAATTATTTTTTACCTGAGAAAGGAAGTTGAGTGATCACTGCCATTTACTGAGGACCTGCCTGGGCCTCATAGTTACTCACTCTGGAAAAGTCTCATAAGGAAGGTCTTTTTATCGTTTCCACTTTATGTGCTCAGAGAGGTAAAGCCACTTGCCCGAGGTCACACAGAGCCCCCCTCAGTTCAAATCCAACTTTGTCTGACCTCCCAGCCTGAGGGCTCACTCATTCCACTCCACCGCCTCAAATTGCCTAAGGTTGAATGAAAACTTTATAACAATCCCTACTCAGGCCTTTGACAAGGAAAGCAAAGTCTCTGTTACTTGTTTCTTTAACTACCTTGTTCTTTCCTGGGGGCCAAGGATCTTCCAATTTTCTCCAGCAATATCCACAGAGGTTTCAGCACATCAGAGCAACTGAGTACATATTGGTAGATTGATTTGGTTGATAGGATCTCGTTTGCTGGCCTTGCTCCCAGTCAGATTGCCCCTGGCATGGGCAGCCTACGGGCTGGTTCGACACAGTGTCTGCCAGGGAACTCTTATTACTCCCCTTGTTTCTGGTATGAAATTCCAAGGCCAAACCATGCGATCTGCCTCGCACACCTTGCTGTTGCCTCAACTTGTGCCCTGGCTCCCTCACTCACTCAGCTCCAGTCACAAGCTCCTTCTGCTCCTCAAGATTCTCAATCTGTCCTCCTCTGAGGCTCCTGCTGTCCCCGGGGCCAGGAGCACTCTCCCCATCTCTGCTCAGCATTACTGCCTGGCACTGCCCATCTCTGTTTCATCCCTTTGTTGCATCTGTCACCACTTGAAATTCTCTGGGTTGGGCATTTGTTTCTTTTCATCCATCTACCCCTTGCACAGTTTCATGAGGGCATGCAGTTTGTCGCTAGCAGCTGTCTCCCCTACACTGGCCCCACGCTTGGCGTGCAGCGGGGCTCCATGAGGGGGTGACCGCCCACCCAGCCATTGACTCTTTCAAAACCACTGGGGCGGCTGAGGAGATGTTCTGCTTCTTGGACTCTGAAGCCCATCACCCACAGCTACTAAACAAGGCCAAGACTTTATTCCAAGCCCCCACTTCTTACTCCTTGGATCCCAAGGCTGCCTGCAAGGCCACAGGAGGAAAACCATCCTGAGAGATTAACCACCACAGTGCTTGAGTTCTGACAGCAAACCACCTTTCTCAAGGCCCTTTAAGAGCCTGGACTCTGGAAGCAAATGGGCCTCAGATCCACTCCCAGCTTCTGTCTGATCCCAGGCATCTCATTTTGCCTCTCAGCCTCAGCTTCCTCATCTGTGAAACGGGGACACAGAAAACAAGGGGGTCTCTCCCACACAGGGTGATTAGATTTTAAACAGGAGCACAAAACGTATCCACGGTTCCTGGCACACAGCAGGCACTTGATGAGAGCTGTTCTTTCTTCAACCAGTTAACAGACTCGCTGAGCAGCTGCTGTGTGCTGGCCAGCCAAGAGCTTGGAGCCGAGGAGAGTGTGGTGAGGGCCTCCCAAGCGGCCCACCGAGAGTGAACAAAATAAGGGAATTGCACAGTATGTTGCTGTCCAGTAGCTCAGTCGTGTCTGACTCTGTGACACCAAGGGCTGCAGCACGCCAGGCTTTCAGGAAGTGGTAAATGCTGGGGAGAAACACAAACCGAGAAAGGGCTCTGCAGGGCAGGGGCTCAATGGCTGTTTTAAAAAAATATTTATTTGGCTGCATCAGGTGAGTTGTGGCACTCGAGATCTTCGCTGCATCATGCAGGATCTTTCGTCACAGCACGCAGACTCTTGCGTTACGGGAGCACTCTGCCTCTCTTGCCGTGGCCCATGGGTTCAGTAGTTGCTGCGAGCAGGCTTAGTTGCTCTGCAGCAGGCAGAATCTTGGTTCCCTGACCAGGGATTGGACCCATGTCCCCTGCATTGCCAGGCGGATTCTTAACCACTGGACCTCCAGGGAAGTCCCTAAAGGGTTATTTTTAAAATAGGGTGCTGAGGAGGTCTCATTGAGAAGGTGAGCAAAGACCTGAAGGAGGTGAGGGACGGAAGTTCACAGATGTCAGACGGAAAAGAATTCCAGGCAGAGGAAACCACAGGTGCAAAGGCCCTGAGGTGGGACCTGTGACTGATAATGTAAGAGAATTTTTAAGTCTGCTCTCCCCGCCATTTTCCTCCTCAAAATTGACAAGCACAAGTGCTGACCGCCCGAGCGCTGCAGCAAGCGAGCAGCATCTCTCCTGTGCACCAGCCGCCCGCCTCTTTAACCTTGAATGCCTTTCTGGGCCCCACGTGTCACAGGGTGGCGACTGAGCTGCCCTTACTTCAGAAGAACGGCATGGGGTGGGGGGGCCTTAGGTGGTGTCCGCCTCACCTACCACTGCCAAAAGTGGTCATGGGGTTATTTTTAAACTTAGGGAGGAGGTATTTATTGTTCCCAGGCTGAAGAGAGCCGGGCAGACTGTGGGATTCTTCTGGGGGAGCACTGCTGTGTCCTTTCCGCCATGGTGAGTACTGAGGGCCCCCGGAGGAGGTAAGTGATGCTGGGTGGCAAGGAGGGGACACCACCCACAAGCAAAGGATCAGAGGGGAGGGGGAGCACGGCAGCTCTCCGGGGCCCCAGATCCTGGAGGAAAAAGCACTGCTTGCTGCGTGCACACAGAGGAACCCCAATCAATGCCCCCGATAAGCCACAAATAACAGCAGCTCCCGGGGACTCGCAAAAACAAAATAAGAGAGTTGGCTTTTTTATGGCTTGTCTACTGACCTCTCGAGGAATCAATAACTCCCAGGGCTTGCAAAATGGGATTGAACGTTTTTAAGGATCAAATTGTAATTCTTTTCTCTTGTTCAGGCAGCTGGGGAAAAGAATCTTTTTGTTTTCACCTTTTGAACTTGCAAATTTAAAACCTCTCTCCCTCTGTTGTTTAGTTAGGTGTCCCTCTTCAGAAGCAGGAAGCCCCCAAAATCAGGATCAGTGTGAGGCTGTGGTTAGGGCCACAGACTGTGGAGGCAGTCTGCCCTAGTTCGACACTGGCTCTGCCTTTTTGTGACTGTGTGACCTTGGGTAAACGACCCAACCTCTCTGAGCCTCGGTTGCCTCCCCGGGAAAATGGCAATGGTAATAATAGCATCCACTTGACAGAGCAGTTATGAGGACTAAATGCAATAACATATGCAGTGTTCAAGCATTTGCTGTAACTCAAGTCAGAAGCGGGTGGGGAAATGTTAACTCACTCCCCTCGCTCTGTTTGCATGATGCAAGGACAGAACATTTAGAGGAGATGTTGCTGCCATTTGGATCAGGGGGAAATCGAGGGGGACAGAGCAGTTGGGTTTTAACACCCTGAAAATGTGTCATTTCATCTCGCATTCTTCATGGTTTAGTGAGCCTGACTTTTTTTTCGCCTCCAATCAATTCTCCTTCTGTGCATTACTGAACTTTTTGTGAAATGCATCAGAACAAAAGCAGCTGGGTCCTGCTGGGGCTGATCCGAAAGCCTGGCCTCCATCCCTGGAGACACACCTCTACCTCCCCTAGTTTGCAAAGGAGCTGCTGCAAGACCCACAGTCTTACAATCCGCCAGAACCAGGCTGATTTTGGGAAGTCTTTTTTTTTTTGGGGGGGGGAGTCTTATTCCATGTCCTTTTATCTTTCCAGCACCGCCCTTTTGAGATGAGTGTCGGCACCATACCCCCACTTCACAGATGAGCGGCTGAGGCTTACCCAGAGATGGAACTGACCTAGTTTTCTAATTCCCAGCCTCCGACTCTTTTAACCGATGTGTTTTTTTACCCTCTAGTCACCTAAGAAAGCCAAGAAGAGAGCAGAGGGAGCCAATTCCAATGTGTTCTCCATGTTTGAACAGACCCAGATCCAGGAATTTAAGGAGGTGGGTGCAGCTGGGTGGAGATTCCCACATGCTAGAAACAGCCTTTCCCTCATTCCATATTCCCTGCAAGGACCTCTCAGTTACGCTGTCTTTGTTTTCATTCTGTTGTTGTTGGCTGTCCCATGCCACCTGTGGTATCTCAGTTCCCCAACCAGGAATCGAACTCACACCCCTTGCAAAGGAAGTGCAGAGTCTTAACCCTTGGACCAGCAAGGAAGTCCTAGCTTGTCTTTATCCTCCCCAAAACACCCCAGATTTGGTCTGAACATGTGTATGAATGACTTAAAGAAATTAACTTTTGCTGATCATCAAAACAAAGCCTATGTCTTGTTGAAAATGTAGGAATGAATTTCAGAAATGCATGAAGAATAAAAATGACCTGACTTATAATTCTATGACCCAGAGATGATCAGTTAACATTTTGGTATATGCTCTGCCAGTGGTTTTTGTTATGCATGTATTTGTTAAACAAAGTGACCATCTTCTATGCACACTAATCTATACCTGTTATTTTTCCTTGAGCAATTCAGCACCAACATTTTCCATCATTTATTTAAATCGCCTCCTATGGTTAGATGTTATGTTTAGAATGCTTTACTATTATAATTAACACCCTTTGCTTGTATCTCTGGTTATTTCCTTGGCGTAAATTCCTAAAAGCGGAACAGTTGGATTGAAGGGACATTTTTTTTTTTTTACAAAAGGAACTAAAACCAAGTACAACCACTGGTCCAAGCTGCCCTCCAGAAATCCTGTGCTCACTCTGACTCCCATCAGCCCCAAGAGGAGAAGGTGCCTTTCCTGCCACATCTCCATCAACACTGGGTGTTAACATCTCAAATATGATTTCTGCCAGCCGGAGGGATATCTGAGAGTATCTGAGATATTAATTTTTACCGTCTTAATTGTTGACTGCTAGCTGGGTCTGAAACCCTATCCCAGTCTATGGGGATGTGCCTTCGTAAGCAAACCTAAGTACCAATTACATAAAATTAAACCACTGCTGCAGACTCAGGATATACTGAATTAATTTTCCAGCCATCCTGATGGCTCACACTGAGTTATCTACTCTCTCACCTGGCCCTTCAGAGGAAAACACACTAAAGCTATGCTGGAGAGGCCACAGTATTTTATATGAAAGGAGAAACCACTGGGGGCTTCCAATGGGACATGAAGACTTGCCCCTTCTGTCCCCACCAGCTTTCAGATCACAGGAACATCACACCCCACAGGCTGCCAGGGAGAGAGGAATTCCTGGGATGAAATGTCACATCTGAACCTGAAATAGGTCTCTTCCCCGGAGAAGACTACATCCTCCCTTCTCCCTCCCTCTGTCCCAACTTCTGGAATGAGATCAGCTGCTGGGGGCATGACCTGGGGGTGCAAATACTTTCAGGAACCAGTTGTTAAAAGAACTCAAGAAATGCAGATATGATATGTCATTGGTAAAATACCTGGGCATTCACAAAGGTCTTGGAGTTTCCCTCAGAGCCAGCTGGAAAAGATCACTGGCTTCATTTTACAGATAATGTGGGCTTGCGAGTTGGTGAGCAGACTTGTTTTTAACTCATTTTTTTTTCAACAACAGCTTGATAAAGTTATAATTCACATACCATGTATTCAGCCTTTTAAAGTAAGTGTACAATTCAGTGGTTATTTAATACAGTCACAGCATTTTGCAACCATCATCATTTATCTAATTTTAGAACATCTTCATCGCCCCCAAAAGAAACCTCATACCCATCAGCAGTCACTCCTCAGTCCCCCCTCCCCCCAGCCCCTGACAACCACTAATCTATTTTCTGTCTCTAAGGATTTGCCTGTTCTGAATGCTTCATAGAAATGGAATCGTACCCTATGTGGCCTTTTGTGTCTGGCTTCTTTCACTTAGTATCATGTTTCAGGGTTCATCCATGTTGTAGCATGTGTCAGAATTTCCTTTTTATCGTTGAATGACATTCCACTGTGGGGAGAGACCACATTTGTTTATCCATTTATCAGTCTGGAGCTACTATGAATAGTGCTGATGTAGACGTTCACACACAGGTGTTTGTATGGTTACGTGTTGTCATTTCTCTTGGGAATACACGGAGGCATGAAATTGCTGGGTCCTGTAGTAACTCCAGATCTAACACCTAATATCCCTCGATGCTCCTTGAAAACCCCAGAATCCCACTTCCCCAAGCCCTTGGCACAATCTCTGGGACTCCTCCCCACAATTTCTCCTAGGCTGACCAGACAATCGCCTTCCTTTCACAGGCCTTCACCATCATGGATCAAAACAGGGATGGTTTCATCGACAAGAATGACCTGAGGGACACCTTTGCTGCTCTTGGTACGTCACCCCGCACCACCACCCAGCACCAGCTAGGAAGGTCTTCTTATCCCACTCCATGAGGGGCAGGAGGTGGGGCTATCAAAAAGGTCAAGAGCTTGTCATTTTGAAACAGCTCAACCAAGATTGGTCTTTAAGGCAAATTTCAGAGGATAGGAAAGAAGTGTTTAGTCTTTGAGTGTCTTAACGTATCTTTTTCTTTTAAAATCATTTTTATGTGGTTTTGAATACAATGGCAGTTTACAATAGAAAACTTGGAAAATTCAGAGACGTATAAAGGAGTAGACAATGCTGCCCACTAGGGCATATTCCACTCTTAACATCTGAGCCTCTAATTTTTTTCCTAGGCATCTCGTGTGTGTGCATGCTTATTAGTTAGACTCATTCTATTTTGGATTCAGCTTTTAAAATTTAACATCTCAGTAGGGTGATCATGAGTACATGGAACTGTTTCAAAATATAAGTGTCCAATCTGTCACCTCCTCCTCCATTCCTACCCCCAGAACTCAGTTCCATGAACAGTTGGGCAGGTTTTGTACTGAGCAATTATAGACTACTATTTGCATCTGTAGCCACGGTAGATTATTAATTTAAAACATAAGTTATCTTAATAAGGGGTGGCTTTTTCTAATTTATACAAACATACTATATGGGCTTGTGACAGTGGCTAGGATAGGTTTATCAGAATCTCCAATGCTGTGTGGGTTAGAGCAGTTATAATTTGAAAAAGTTCCCTCGAATTCTGATCTGTGTCTCCCACCTCCAAGTGAGAAGGGCTAATTTTATACTATGAGGATTTCTCATTTGAGTAAAACATTAAAACATCTGTATAAAATGTTCCAGGTCCTGAAAGCACAGTTTTAAAAATAACTAAACCCTCTTTGGGTTGTTTCCAGTTGTCTGGTTATTATAAATAACACTTTTGAGAACATCTCACGTGAATCTCTGGCCCTGTCTACTCTGTCTCCGATTATTCCTAGACAAGATTCCTTGAAGTAGGATTACAAGGACAAATGCCAGTGTCCTGACAGCTGTTTCTGTCCCAGCTCAGAATCGCTGAGTGTCTGTCTCCTGCTCTAGGGCGTGTGAACGTGAAAAATGAGGAAATTGATGAAATGCTCAAGGAGGCTCCAGGTCCAATTAACTTTACTGTGTTCCTACAGATGTTTGGGGAGAAACTTAAGGGTAAGTTCATGTGTATTTCTGTTCGTCTATGTCTGTATATGTATATATCTGTGTATGTTGGTTTGTGCACCTATGTGTGTCTGTCTTTGTGTGTCTTCATCTTTGGGCATCAATTAAAAGCACTAGGAGAACATACAGGAGTTGGCAGATGAAGGCAAGGTAACATAGGAGAGGGAGAGAATAAAAAGAGCAGTTAATAGTGCTCCAAGGTTTACCTTAATCCAGACCTCATACAAAACACTTTAAATGCATTATATGCATCACCTTAGTCTAGGATGTAGGTTCTCTTCTTATCCTCGTCTACAGAAGGGGAACTGAGACTCAGAGACGGAAAGTCACTTGCCTGAAGCTACACGGCTAACAAATGCTGGGGTCAGGATTCAAATCCCAGTCTTTCTAAGTCTAGATCCATGCCTGACCTTGGGTTTGCTCCAGAAATAACTGGATTCTCAGCCCACGCTTTCAAAACACCAAGGCTCAGTGCTTGCTCAGAAATGGTGAGACCTTTCTTCCTTACCCAAGATTCTTAACCACCCATAGCACATCAACCCCATTTTCTGTTGCAGGAGCAGACCCCGAGGAGACCATTCTCAATGCGTTCAAAGTATTTGACCCTGAAGGCAAAGGAGTGCTCAAGGCTGATTAGTGAGTGGGATGTGAGTGGTGGGAGGGGGACCTGGGGGTTCCTTGCTTCTCCCCACAGCCCTCCCCACATAGCCAGGGCAATATCTGCTTTTCTCTCTCTCCAGTGTCAAGGAGATGCTGACCACGCAGGCGGAGAGGTTTTCCAAAGAGGAGGTAACAGGCCCCCTTCAGACACCCTCTGTACCCCAGTTACTGGCCTCACCTTTCTAAGGACTCCCTCTCCAGACTCTCTTACATAAAATAGCCCTGACCCCACACTGAGAGAGAATCCGCTCTCGTTTACTGAGCCCTTACCTCATTTCATTCTCTCAATCACCCTGTGAGGCAGTGACTAGCACTATGGTCATTTTACAGATGGTGAAACTGAGGCTCAGGGAGGCAAAGTTACTAGCTTAAAAGAACTGGGAAATGCCGGATCCTAGATCCAAACCTCTGTCTGACTCCAGGTTCTGCCTTCCTCATAACACATTGAGACCTGGTGACAGCATCAATTTTCTGATGGACTGAAGGTGTCATGCAGGGTGACCATGCATCGTTGTATAGGTTGTACACTGCACAATCCTCCTGGATGCCCTTAGTAATATATACTGCAGAGTATCTATTTGTTGCAAGTTTTTTCCAGCAGATGGCAGTCAAGTGTCTTGCTATAATATTCTAAAAATCAGAACATAAGACTCTTTCTGGCAGGTGGCAGTAATGTGCCTGGAAGAAGGGGCACTATTGCTATCAATAATTCATCAAAGGCCCTGTATGAACAAGCAACTTTCTTGTCAACATTGCTAATTAATCTTAATGAATCTATTTAAAATATTCCCTTGCAGCCTCTCAGGCCTGATTCTGCGAAGTTTCACATTTTACTAAAAATTTTATTTGAATTTCCTCCTTAAAATTCAAGCAGTTGAAACAGCCTACCTTTCAACTCCCACCATCTTCGTGACTTCGGACAAGCTCCTTAACCTCACTGTGCCTCAATTTCCTCATCTGTATAGTGGGGACAATAATAGAATCTACTTCATAGTATACATGACGATTAAATGAGTTCAAATGTATAAAGTGCTGGTACGTGAAAAAGGTAATATGTGTTAGCTATTATTAACCCCAAATTAAAAAAACAATAATTAGCCAATATTCTTTAAGGACTTCCTGGTGGCTCAATGGTAAAGAATCCTGCCAATGCAGGAGACTCAAGTTTGATCCCTGAGTCAGGAAATCCCCTGGAGAAGGAAATGGTAACCCACTCCAATATTCTTGCCTGGGAAATCCCGTAGGCAGAGGAGCCTGGTGGGCCACACTGCATAGGGTTGTGAAAGAGTCAGACACAACTTAGCAACTAAACAAACTAAAAAAATTTTTAATGTAGAAATTACACATTAAAAAAATTTAAATTTCTAATTTCCCTCAAAGAATCTAATTCCTCAAAGAGTCTGACCTCCTTCCCCACATGGCCACAAGGGCTGGTCCTGAGGAGTTACAATCTCTGCAGAAAGACTATGTCTCCATTTAACCACGGTCCCTACCAGGCCCACTGTGCTCACCTACATAACCTGCCTGCCTCTTTGCACACACAATTGAGCTTGCAATCCCTGCTTTCCCCATTGCAGGCTGGGTACCTAGGAACATCCCTGCAGGATGGCCCTTGGGGTCAGCACCTGGGGAAGAGCTAGGAAGGGCAAGGAAGCAGGAGGGCAGGGAGAGAGATGCCCATGGCACCCCATATCCTCCAGGCCCCAGCTGCCTCTCCACTTGGGCCGCCCTCCCCCCCAAATCCTCAGCACGTCTTGCTGGTTCATTGCAGATTGACCAGATGTTTGCTGCCTTCCCCCCTGATGTGACTGGCAACTTGGACTATAAGAACCTGGTGCACATCATCACCCATGGAGAAGAGAAGGACTAAGAGAGTGGCTTGCTTTTGGGTGGGCAGATGGGGGCATCCTTGCCCTCTTCTCATTTTGCCCAGTAATGCACCACCCCCGACCCTGGCCAGTTGGTCATGTGGCTGCCTCATTTATCCACCTCCATCTTCTTTGCAGCCTGGGTGCCTTAGAGCTACCACATGACCACACAGCTGGCAGATGGAAATTCACCCAGAGTCTGTGTTCAAATAAAAAGGAGGTCGTGTATTTGTTCATGGTGTGTCCTTGAGTAAAGAAGACCCTTTGCTAGTTCCCATGAAGGCAGTATATGAGTTAGGGACAGCACTGCTGTCATTATTATTGAATCTTAGTGACTCTTTACTTAAAACAGATCTTTAGGGACTTGGGACCCTGCTGGTAGTCCAGTGGTCACCAGCAGTTCCTGGTTCTTGTCTATCTCTTCAGCAACCCTAGTGGAAAGAGGACACCTCCCTCTCTCTCTCTCTCTCTTTCCCCACCAGCTCCACACAAATCCCAAAACAGGGCCTATGCAATACCTGAACCAACCCTGAAACAGGTGCAGTACTCTGACTAGCAGACTTGCTCATATGATCAACCCTCACGCGGGGGTTGAAATCAGTCCCTTCCAAACCTTACATGGCCTGAGGGTAGGAGGGGCCATTCCCAAAGGAAAGTCCAGATGTATTTTAGGAGGAAGGGGGAGTAGATGTCAGGTAGTCTAATTTTTCAAGGGAACCCCAAGAACCTGGGACCTAGCCAAAGAGAAAGATGTACTGGGAACAAAGAGCTGAAGCTGGGATCAAAGTGGCAGCTGGGGTCACCTAGAGGGAATGAGAGGATCTGGGTGGTTGGAGGAGCCAGAACTGGAGTGAGTCTTTAAGGTTCAAGAACAATAACAGAGACCCCCCCAGAGGAGAAGCTCAGGGTCTGCTCCAGTGACATCACCTGCTGGGAAATGGGGTTCCTTTCAAGCCAACTGAGAGGCAGGGACTCAGGACCCCCATGCCTTCATGATCCACACCCTGTGATGACCCATGCCCCCCTCACATCCAGAACCTGTGACCTGGGGCTCCTGCAGAGACAAGGCCAGGCCCAGGAGAGGCCCCAGCTCATGGCACTCAAATGGAGTTTGTATTTCAGGACAAGACACCCTGGACACAGCTCTACAGTGATACACTCATCCATGCGACCCTCCCATGCACAGATACAAACACAGGGCCTCCACAGCTCCCGGTCCCCACCGGTGAGTCTGCTGCACCCTATGTGGTTCGAGGACGTGAAATCAGTATTTTGGCTCCCATGGGGCCCCTACACTTCACCTGGTGAGCCGTGACGCGGGGGGTACCATCTCAAGGGTAGTCAAGGGCCACCGTGACCTCACACCACTCTTGCCACCTGTGCCAGCTTTCGATCTCCACCCTCCTGCTCCTCTACCCCATCCTGGGGAGCTGCCAGTGCCCCAGTCTCTCAGTAATGAGTGTGGAAGAGGCACTGGGGTTACAGAACAAGACATTTACTCTCTCTAGTTATGTACGAATGGCCAGAGCCGCCTCAGACTGTTACCTTCCTCTTGGACTTCACCTCGTCCCCTTTTTCAGGCATGCTGTCCCTGTTTCGAGACTCTCTTGTGGTGTAGTGGTTGAGCACCATTTGCCGAAGGCTGCTGTGGTCCAGGGGCTGCTCCACTGCACCAAAGACGGGACTCGGTGTGAGGAGTTCAAAAATCGAATCCAGCACAGCAGGGGGTGCGCCTCCTTCCCAGGGCTAATGCCTCTTTGCCCTCTTCAAGGGACTCCAGGCCTGGTTTGGTGACCCTCCAGAGCAGTGGGGGTTGAAGTGTGAACATTCTCCAAGTTCAGGGAGAGGGAGGACAGGCAGAGATACACTGCTCAGGGATGGTCAGACAATAACTGTCTTTTTCTCCCAGACGAGGATGTGAAGGTGAGTTGGATTTAATATCAAAGAGACAGGGCCACCATGTGCAGTTGCTCAGGATGTAGACTACACAAAGACACCTGTTTCTGCAGGGCTGAACACACCCCCCCACACACACTTGATTGCCAAGCTACATGGATCTAGCAGAGGCGGCTTTCCCTAATTAATCTGCCTAGAGGGGCTTCCCTCTTCTAATTCACACATGCAAGCCATAGAGGCTAGTGGGCTAAGAGAACCCAATGTTTATCAATATTCCCTTGAACAGAAATGAAGATATCATCTGTATATTCCTGACCTTGTGAGGACAGTGTTATCAATGGCTGTTCTCTGCCACCCTCCTTGTTTAAGAACTCAAAGGGTCAAGGAAAGCTGTGCTAAGGTGGCTGACACCAGCCCTGGTTTTCACTCCTGCTAAGTCTCAGTTGCCTTGAGTAAATCAAGCAGATGTGTGTACACCTGTGCATCTCTGCATGCACACATATTGGCAGTTCCCTCCCTCCATTCTTGGCACACCTGCACACTTGAAATGTTGCTCACAGAAGAGGGGGAACTTTTTTAAAAACCAATTTTTTCCCTCTGGTTACTCAAATCACACAAGGTCACTGTAAAAGAAAATTCTAAGCAATGACAGAATTAACTCAGAAATACAAAGTTCTCTGCAACCCACCACCCAGAAATACCCACTGTAAGACAGCATATACCTCTTCATTTTTATATGTATAATCAAGATATTTTCCTTCCCTTCCTCCTCCTTCTCCTTCCTTTTCTCTCTCCCTCTCTTTCTCTCCTATGTACCAGGTTGTGAAAGGCTGTCTTGTTCACTGTAGGTTTTACGTAGCATCCCTGGTCACTAGATGCCATATACACATATGTCAGTTCATGTCAGTCCACAGCATTCTTTTTAGTGGCTGCATAGTATTCCATCACATGCACGGGTGAACTATAACTTATTTAACCAATCTCTAATGGGTGAGCATTTCAGTCATTTCCAGTTCGGCTGCCCTCCTACTTCCACCTTCGACCCCTGAGTAAGTTTTTCTCTGAAGGACCAATCCCCACAAGCAAGATTACAGACTCTACGCATGTATCTGAAACAGGGTAATTATTAGCTAAGCCCATTTCACCTGTAACCTTCCTTCACTAATCAAGATCATTTTATCATTGGTACAAATGTCTCGCTTGTCCTCCAGGCAACATGTAGCCTAAACAATGTGTCTGCCTGAGTTGTTTTCTAGGAGCTTGGGTCCAGCTGTGTCTAGTTCCAGCTGAGCAGGTTAACCCTGGATAGAATCACAATCCTTCCACTGAGCACATGCGAGAGTTGCTGGATGACATCTTGAACACACAGAGGCCCACACTGAATTACACCTACAGAACCAGGATCAGGGCACCATTTTCCAATCACCTTTCCCCGCATGCTCCATGCCTCAGATCACCCAGCATCTTTAGTCTTTATCCCATAAACACCAGAGCCCCTTGCTTTCCGGGAGGCGGATTTTGGAGATTTGTCTCCCCATCTCCTCTCCTTGGCTTTGTGAACTTGCGAATGAATCTCCCTCCCTCTGCTGACCCTCCATGTCTTGGCCTGGCTTGCTGCACATCGCAAAAACGCAACCTGGCTCAGTAACATAACCACGTCTCAACCTTCCCGAACATGTTGCCAAACTACCCACCAAACACCACGTGGGGCCAGACTTTACCCCCACCTTCAGAGAGAAGGGCTAGTTCCCTCAAGCCCCGCAAACCGCAGTACCACCAGCTTCTGCCTCCAAAAGCAAAGAAGGTCAATGTGCCTGTGCCCGCAGGGCCATAGTTAATCTCTGGTGTGAACCAAGTCTCAGCTGCTTCAATCATGGGGTGGGGGCACATAGATGCGGTTGGGGAAAGGAGGTCACACGTGGAGCGAGAGTCAAGAGCATACAGTGAGGGTAGGAGACAGGATCAGGGAATCTCGTCTGCTCATAACTTGCCAACTTGGAAATTCTGGCTATTTTAAGGTTTGTGAAATGGTCACAGAGTAGTTGTAATTTTTTAAAGTATCTGAGATAACTAAACTTCAGAATCTGTGGCTTTGTCATCATGCTGTAGAAAGAAAATTCCAGGTAAGAAAATAACTCACCTTCATCCAACTTGTCACTAAAGGGGTCAGCCCCGAACACTGGGGGGATGACCTTGATGGGTTCTGCAGGCTTCAGGAGGGCAGAGCCGCCCCAGAAGGGGTTGAGGAAGGATGGCTGGACCTCCGCCTCTGCCACTTCCATTTCCATAAGCCGCTTGTAGGATTCTAACACCAGCAAGTCATTGGTCTTCTTCTCAATGATGGCTGGAAAAAAGGCGTAACCAAGAAGTTTGCCAGAGACCTGGGCCCTCGGGGAACTAGAGGCAGCGCTCCCTGCTGGAGAGGAAGGGAAGTAACAGGAAGCAGGCAGGTCATGAATGCCTATAAGGACAAGGGCTTTCTCTTGGCTTATATCACTCATTCCCTAGAGAGCACAATTTGGTTCTTGAGAGGCAAAACCAATCTGACTCTTTGATGTATAAGGCACGGATATACATAAAAAACATGAACAGTTATATGGTATATCAACTGTATGAAAATTCCATAAGGAAGAGCAGTTAGGAAAAGTATGTCTGAAAAGGCTCCATAGGGGACAATAATAAAAAGAAGGTTGAGGAATATTTTTTTAACACTAAAAACTGGGAGCCATGGGCAAACTCTGCCTTAAACTACTGATCTTTTCCTCAGTGCTCTGAGTTTGGGGGAACTGTCCTTCCCACTGTGTTTCACAGCCCCATGGAGTCACCAGAATAATTCATTCATTCATTCATTTATTCATTTATTCATTTATTCCACAAATGATTATTGGATGCTTATCAGACTGGGCATGGTGCCTGAGATGCCACGATGCATGGAGGGAAAAGAGTGACCATAAACAATAACAGAGATGCAAACCTTGTCCTGATGAAGCTCATAAGCTTCAGTGTGAATGGGAAGATGGACAGAAAGGCAAATTCAGCAAATAAATACACATACTCCTCACTATCCAGATGCTTGTTATCTGAATTCAGTAACTATTGGATTTAAGTTTTTTTTTTTAATTTCACATAACGCATACCATTTCTCTTCTCTCTGAAAATCAGGGACCAAAAAGATTCACATCTGAAACTTGCTATTGGTTCTCAAGAACCTCCTCTCTTCACACAACGAGAATTACCTGTATATAGAGACAAACTAGGCAAGGATTAAATAATAGAACTGCTATGAGAGTGAGTACCAGACCACCTGACCTGCCTCTTGAGAAATCTTTATGCAGGTCAAGAAGCAACAGTTAGAACTAGACATGGAACAACAGGCTGGTTCCAAATAGGGAAAGGAGTACGTCAAGGCTGCTTATTTATTGTCACCCTGCTTATTTAACTTGTATGCAGAGTACATCATGAGAAATGCTGGGCTGGATAAAGCACAAGCTGGAATCAAAATTGCCAGGAGAAATGTCAATAACCTCAGATATGCAGATGACATCACCCTAATGGCAGAAAGTGAAGAACTAAAGAGCCTCTTGATGAAAGTCAAAGAGGAGAGTGAAAAAGTTGGCTTAAAACTCAACATTCAGAAAACTAAGATCATGGCATCTGGTCCCATCATTTCATGGTAAATAGATGGGGAAACAATGGAAACAGTGAGAGACTTTATTTTGGGCGGCTCCAAAATCACGCAGATGGTGACTGCAACCACGAAATTAAAAGATGCTTGCTCCTTGGAAGAAAAGCTATGACAAACCTAGACAGCATATTAAAAAGCTGAGACATTACTTTGCCAACAAAGGTCCGTCTAGTCAGAGCTATGATTTTTCCAGTAGTCATGTATGGATGTGAGAATTGGACCATAAAGAAAGCTGAGCACCAAAAAATTGATGCTTTTGAACTGTGGTGTTAGAGAAGACTCTTGAGAGTCCCTTGGACAGCAAGGAGATCCAACCAGTCCATCCTAAAGGAAATCAGTACTGAATATTCATTAGAAGGACTGATGTTAAAGCTGAAACTCCAATGCTTTGGCCACTTTATGGGAAGAGGTGACTCATTTGAAAAGGCCCTGATGCTGGGAAAGATTGAAGGCAGGAGGAGAAGGGGACGACAAAGGATGAGATAGTTGGATGGCATCACCGACTCAATGGACATGAGTTTGAATAAACTCTGGGAGTTGGTGATGGACAGGGAAGCCTGGCGTGCTGCAGTCCATGGGGTCACAAAGAGTCAGACACAACTGAGTGACTGAACTAAACTAATGAGAGTGAATAACAGTGGATACAGCAGGACCAGCCTCAGATAGAGCAGCGGAGGGGGACTTGCTGGAGAGAGGACATTTAAACTGAGATCTGAGAATGAGGAACTGGGTATGGGATGAGTATCCTAGGAACACCCCATGCAAAGGCCCTGAGGTAGAATTTTTGGGGGGAGAGATTTGGAAATACAAAGAGGAGAACAGTGTGGCCACAGGAAGTGAGCAGAGAGGAAGAGCAGGACAAGAGATGATGAAAAGTGTAAGCAAGGGGACTTCCCTGGTGGCCCACTGGTTAAGAACCCACCTGCCAATGCAGCAGACACCAGTTCGATCCCTAGTCCAGGAAGATCCCACATGCCCAAGGCAACTCAGCCTGTGCACCACAACTACTGGGTCTGAACATCCTAGAGCCTGTGCCCCACAACAAGAGAAGCCATTGCAATGAGAAGCCCGTGCACTGCAACTAAGAGTAGCTCCCTGCTCACCACAAGAGGAAGCCTGCACACAGCAATGAAGACCCAGGGCAACCAAAAATAAATAGTAAGTAGATGAATTTTTAAAAAATGTAAGCAGGGGCCAGGCTATAAAGAAGTTGATAGGCTGCACGTAAGAAAGAGTTAATACGGCAAAGTCTGACTGCTCTCCTTGGAAAAGGTTGCTTAGCAGTTTGGTCCTTGGACAGTATCATGGAACTTGGATTTCAGGAAGGTCCCCACCACCATTAACTGTTAAGAGAGGCTCATCATGCCTTTGTTGTTCAGTCACTCAGTCATATCCGACTCTTTGAGATCCCATGGACTGAATCACACCAGGCTTCCCCGTCCTTCACTATCTCCCAGAGTCTGCTCAAACTCATGTCCCCTGGGTCGGTGATGCCAGCATGCTTAATCTGTGTATTAAAAAATGTAGCTTATGCTATAAATACTTGCTCTTCTTTCTGGGGTCTGGAACTGGGATATGTGCCAGGCTGGAGGTGTCTGTATGATCAGCCCCCATCCTAACCCTAAGTGATGAGTATCCAATGAGCTTTTCTGGTTGACACCATTTCACTTGTGTTGTCACACCTCATGGCTGGGGGAGATTAAGCACATCCTGGGAGAGGACCCTTGGAAGCTTGCTCTTGATTTCCTCCATGCTTTCCCCCAAGCTCCTTTATCTTTACTGATTTTGCTTTGTACCTTGTGGCTATAATAAATCATAGCCATGAGAATATAACGATATGCTGAATCCAGGAGCCCTCCTAGTGAATCCCTGAAACTGACGGGAGGGAGGCGTCTTGGGAACCTCCCAAACACAGATGGTATTAAGAACCTTCGATTCTATTCTAAGAGCGGTGGAAATCATTCATTCTAAACTGGCATGATCTCTGCGGGTACATCTCCCTCTCTCTCCTGAGCTCAAGGCCTAGAAATGTGTATTACAGTTAATAGGCATTTGCTACATGCCAGGCACTGCTCTGAGCACTTTATTTCTTTCTTCTCAATCTGAATACTTTTCATTTCCTTTTATTGCCTTACTGCATTATCGAGGCCCACCAACATAATATTGAATAGGAGTTGTGAGAGCAGACATCCTTGCCTTGCTCCTGATCTTAGAAGAAAAACATTGCTTTTTTTCATCATTAACTATGAGGTTAGCTGCAGGTATTTCTGGAGATGCCTTTTATCAGGTAAGGAAGTTTCCTTCTAGTTCTAGTTTGTTGAGAGGTTTTTTTTATTATGAATGGATATTGAATTTTGTCAAATATTTCCTTCTATATCTATTCACATGATCCTGTAACTATTTCTCTAAGAACTACTTATTTATTTAACCTTCCCAACATTTTTTAGATGAAAAAACTGAGGCACAGAGAGGTTCAGAAGATTGCCCAGAAAATTCCCTGATGGTCCAGTGGTTAAGCACCTGCTTTCCAGTACAGGGGATGCAGGTTTGATGCCTGTTCAGGGAACTACCATCCCACATGCCATGGGGTAACTAAGCGCTACAATAAAGATCCCAATTGTCGTAACTAAGACCCAATGCAGCCAATAAAGAAATATGAAACACATGCACAGACTCAAAAATCCATGTTTAAAAAAAAAAAAACAGTTGCCAAAAGTCACACAGCTAGTAAGAGTAGAACCACGGTTTGAACTCAAGTAGGTTGGCTTTAGTGCCCACAGGCTTCACCACCAGGCTCACTGCCTCCAAAAGAACAAGTCCTGGTGCCTGCTCATAGAAATCTCTGGAAATGGCTGCTAAGAGTCTAGTGGGCTTGACTCACCAAAGTACTGCGGGAGGTTGGTATCCGTGATTTTCCCCGTCTCCCCTAACTGCACCAGGATCTTGGTGGCATCACAATTTATCTTCTTAAACAGATTCTCCACCGAGGTCTTGAGATACTCCAAGGTCTTGCTGATCTCCCTGTAGTTGTTCTCATACATGTCTGCCTCCTCCGTGGTCTTCTTTAGCTTCTCCTATGGCAGACCCCCAGTTCCCATCCAGGTCAGCCAGGTGGCCACTCTGGCTGGGCTCAGCCCTCACAGGTGAGAGTCTGAAACCAGGGTCTCCAAACTGCAGGTTTGCAAACCTCTAAGGGGCTTTCCTGGTGGCTCACACAGTAAAGAATCCACCTGCGGTGCAAGACACCCAGGTTCAACCCCTGAGTCGGGAAGATCCCTTGGAGAAGGGAATGGCAACCCACTCCAGTGTTCTTACATGGAAAATTTCATGGACAGAGGAGCCTGGCAGGCTACAGTCCATGGGGTCGCAAAGAGTCAGACATGACTGAGAGACTGAACTGAACTGAACTGAGCAACTAACACTTTTCACACAAGGGGTTGCAAGAACAATTTAATGGGCCTCAATCCACATTTTTTTAAGTGAAATAAAATAAATCAGAAAATAAAGGAAGAGAGGAGAAAATACTAGTATGCACTGGGAGTAGTGAGGATAGATATTGTCTAATGTAAAGATTTGTTTCACTTACAGATGTGTATGTGTGTCTGCATGTCTACTGGGTTGCAGCTTTTTTTAAAAACTGTTGACTCATTTTTAAAAAATTAAGGCCCATGGGAAGAAATATATTTTACATTGCAGTCCAATATATTCACACACTGTTTTCAGTCGCCAAGTTGTGTCAAACTCTTTGTGTCCCCATGGACTGGAGCGCACCAGGGTTCCCTGTCCTCCACCGCCTCCCAGAGTTTGCTCAAGTTCATGTGCATTGAGTCGGTGATGCCATCCAACTATCTCATCCTCTGCCGCTTTCTCCTTTTGCCTCCAATTTCACACATGTGTATTTATATACATTTATCTAATCAAATGAAATTAAAGTTTCACGAATCAATATTCTTATTGTGTGTTCTAACATTTTCCATTCTGTTCTGTTCTATTCCATCTTGTTATCTTTAAATGCTGGTGGCAATCTTATAAACCGATTTCATCATTCAGTTTAAATCATATTACTAGAGACCAGTGGTTCTCAAAGTGGCGTCCCAGGACAAGCAGCATCAGTTCCATCAGGGAACTTGTCAGAAATGCAAGTTCCCAGGCTCCAGTCCAGACCAACTGAATCAGAGGCTTTAGGTGTAGGCTCAGCAATCTGTGTTTAATGAACCTCCAGATGGTCCTGATACATGGTAAAGTTTGAGAACCTCTGTGAGTCCACTGGATCACAATTTCAGTTTCACATTGGTATTACCTGGGAGCATTAAAACATTGGCTACGCAGACCCCAGCCTCAGACATTCAGACATCTTGGTCTGGAGTGCAGCCTTGACACTGGAAACCTTAAAGCCTCCAAGGTGATTCTGACTTGCAGCCCAGACTGAGAATTGCTGCTCTAGGATAAATGCTTTGATGGTTTCCCACCTCTCTCCCTGGTTCTCAGCTTGCAAAGGTGAACTGGGCCCTAGAAGGATCAGCCTTGTCCCTACCAGCTCCATATGGACCATTCCAAATAAGGATCCCAGAGGGCCCTACCCATATGCCCATTTCCAGGTGAGGGAACTGAGGTTCTGAGGCAAGGGAGAGGGAAGCCGTGATTTGAACTGTCTCTCAACTACCACACCAGGCAGCTTCCTCTATCCCAGCCACTGGAATATTCAGTTCCCAGGGCTGAATTTCCTCATATGTCAGCCAGAGCCCCTCCTCTCATTCTAAAGGTGCAGTAAAAGATCACATAGTTAAAAACGCTTTTTAATAGCCTGATGTGGTGTTGATAACACATGTATGTGTGTGCATGCTCAGTCATGTCCAACTCTCTGTGATCCCCTAGATTGTAGCCCACCAGGCTCCTCGGTCTATGGAAATTTCCAGGCAAGAATACTGGAGTAGGTTGCCATTTCCTCCTCCAAGGGATCTTCTTGACCCAGGCATCGAACCCTTGTCTTTTATGACTCCTGCATTGGCAGGCAGATTCTTAACCACTGTATCATCTGGAAAGCCTGATAACACATGTCCAGCACCTAAAATGTTTCAAGCACTTTACACACATCTTCTTAACTAATCCTCACAATTGTCCCAGTTTTCAGATGAGGAATACTGAAGTCAGAGAAGAAAAGTGAACTTGTGCTTACCTCATCTGTGTTGAGTTGTTTAAGAACCTGACCTTGGGCTCTTTATTTAAGCAATTATTTAGTAACAAGATGATGGTGACTTGAGGTTTTATTGACTTACAGGATAAACAACAATAATGGTAGTTATGTTTATAGCTCTCTGCCCTGCAGTATGCCAAGTGTGTACATGCAGGATTTTATTCAATCTTCACAGCCCTACAAAGTGAGTACAATTATTATTCCCATTTCACAGGTGAAACTGAGGTTCAGAGAGGTTAAATCAACTTTCTCAAAATACTAACGTCAGGAAGTAACTCTTCTGGGAATCATACCCAAGCCTTTGTTCCCAGGACCTGGATGCTTAATTTCTATGCTAAACCTCCTGTGAAAGGACTGATTCCACCACTTCCCTTAGAGGGGACAACAAATGGAAGGTAAATAGAAAGCTTTCAAGAGTAAAGGAGATGGGCGTGATTTTTAGTAGGGGGTAAGAAAAGGGGGTTCTAGGTGAGCCCATTGCTATTAAGACAAATTCTCTTGCTGAGTATTTGCATTTGAAAAGAGGCTCCAGGAAAACCCAAGGAACAAAGAGTTACTGGAGGACTTCAGACAGAGGTGGGGCGATGCTTGGGGTTGTCTGGTCAGCCTCCCCAAGCTGTATCCCCCATTAGGTCTTCAAAACCCCAAGATGCAGAGCAGCAACAGTCCCAACTCCAAGGAAGTATGTGGACACTGGGTGGCCAAGAGTCAAGGATGTGGGATGCCAAGCACGTGTCCAACTTGAGGGGGGTCTCCTTGAACTTGGGCCCTGCCTGCAAGTTTACTTTCCCCATTCCTGAATCCTGGGAGAGGTTGCTGAGCCTGAGAGGTGCTTTGCTGCCCTCCAGTGGTGCATTAGAGAATGGCAGAGCCATCCCTGTCTACCACCTGCAATGCCAAGAACAAAAATCAACTACAGAAAAAGGAAGGGAAACGACCCATGAGCATGGTTACTGGGACAGGAACTCCTGGATTAGAACAGGGCTTTGCAATCAAACTCTGTGGTTCATATCTTTCTCAGACATTTGCTATCCATTCTCCCCTTATACCTTAATAACAAAATGGTTATCATTTCAGTGTAGCAATGTGCCAACTAAAAGTTGTATTTCCAACCATCCTTTGAAATAGGAATGGCCAGTAAGACACAGATACAGATGCTATTGACTGAGAATTCAAGGAAAGAACTTTTAAGCTGACTAACTCAATCAGCAAGGCCTTTTTTTCCTTCCCTACTTTCTTTCTGCTTGGAATGTATATGTGATGGCTGGACCAAAATACAAGCATGAGGCATCGTTGTAAATGTAAGCCACACACTAAAGATGGCAAAACTGGAAGGAGAAGACTGATTTACTGATAACACCATGACCAACCCTAAAGTGCTAATCTCCAGATTCACATTTTAACAAGTAAATAAATTTCTATTGCATAGACCACTGTCATTTTGGGTCCCTATTATTAGCAGCTGAATGCAATGCAAAGCTCATACATTATCGCAACTCCATGATGATGGGGATTGCTTCTCTGAACCTCAGTTTCCTCATCTGTAAAATAGATCATATCACCTACTTCATAGTGTTGCTGTGAGGACTAAATGAGATAGTGCAAGCCAAGCTCTTAGCCCAGTATCTTGTGCATAGTAATTGTTCAGGAAATGTTCGTAATTACTATTATTGATTGAGAACAGGCCACAGCTAGGACAAGGGAGAGAGAGAAGTAAAGACAGAGGCAGAGATCTGTTTGGAACTCACCAGTCAGGGATGGAATTACAGGCACAAGGGCCTGGGATAGGCTTCCTGAAGTGGGAGAGTCTTTAAAATGGAAAAAGAAAGCCTTTGTCCTTTTTAGGAACAAAATTTTGCAGCAACATCTGTAGCAGAGGCTGCCTGTGACAAGGGGTCAGAACATGTCAAGACATGACTCAGGCCAGTAGTCATAGGACAGGCATCTTACTCCTACTGACAATCAACTGACAGGCCATCAGACAGACAACAGAGACTCCCATATCCCTCCCTCCCCAGGCTGGTCTTACCTCCAGCTCTCTCAGGATAGAGTGGCTATCATCATGGGATGATTTCTGCTGGGATCTCAAGTGCATGATCTCATTCTGCTCAGGAGAGAACCAGACCATAAGGAAAAGCAGTGTCCCCCTTCCTAGCACACCTCAAAATAAGCCAGTGCCTTGAAGAGTTGATGAGGACTTACTTAATTTTTTAAAAATATCTAGAATATATTTTATTTTTAATTGGAGGATAATTGCTTTACAATTTTGTTTGTTTCTGCTGTACACAATGTGAATCAGCTATAAGTACACATATATTCCCTCCCTAGTGAGGATTTAAATTATCCATTTCAAGAAACCCCAGAACCCCTGGACCCCTCTTAGGTCCATGGAAGTTTTCTGATGCTTTTTAAATTAAAAGGAGGATGAGGGCATGAGTGGGTGGGTGGTTCGTCCTTTCTGGAGAATTGTCTATAATCAATAGGATTTGCTGCAAAGGTAGCCATGTTCTATCTGCACTGTCCAGTACCGCAGCCATTAGCCACACACAGGCACAGAACTCTTGCAATGTGGCTGGGACCAACAAGAAACTCATTTTTAGATTTAACTTAAATTGATTTAAACGAAACTCTCCCATGTGGCTGGTGACTACAGTAATGGACAGACAGCTCCAGAGCAGGGGTTCTACAACTCTACCATGAATCAGAATCACCTAGGGGTTTGTGAAAACACAGACTTCTAGGCTCTACATCAGAGCTTCTGATTTAGTATGTCCGGGTGAGGCCCTGTGCTATGCTACGCCTAGTTGCTCAGTCATGTCCGACTCATTGCAACCCCATGGACTACAGCCCGCCAGACTCCTCTGTCCATGGGGATCCTCCAGGCAAGAATACTGGAGTGGGTTGCCATTTTCTCCTACAGCAGATCTTCCCAACCCAGGGATTGAACCCAGGTCTCCCACATTGCAGGTGGATTCTTTACTGTCTGAGCCACCAGGGAAGCCCAAGAATATGGAGTGGATGGTCTATCCCTTCTTCAGGGGAACTTCCTGACCCAGGAACCGAACTGAGATCTCCTGCATTGCAGGTGGATTCTTTACCAGCTGAGCTACCTGGGAAGCCTGGGTGAGGCCCTAGAATGCACATTTCTCTCAAGTTCCCAGGAGATGCTGCCACGGTGGTGGCCCAGGGGCCAGATCTGAGAATTCCAGGGCTAGAACAGTGTGTCCAAATGTAAAAGGCATGCACTTTTTGATGGGGCAATACCATTTCCAGGAATCTGTCCTAAGGAAATAGTAGGACACATGGGTAAAGGTGGCCACTCAAGGCTATCCCTTGAGTTATTATTCATTATATCCATTAGGAACAACCTGAATGTCTACTGGTTGGTGATTGGTTAAGTAAATAATGGTACATTTATATCATGGGGGAAAGGGTCTCAAATTAAAATACAATTTAAATGCATATTCCAGGCTTATTTTCAGAGAATCTAGGTTTGCAGGTATGAGATAGGGCCTGAGGAATCTGCTTTTTTAAGAAGCATCTTGTGGTATTATTACTACAGAGCATCTAGGGGCCCCAGAAGCCACTACAAAGAACATAGGAATAAAAAGTTTTAAAAGATTATGTAAACTTACTTAAAATACAAGGGGAGAAAACCATAGATGATGTTGGGCAAAACTGTTGGAGAAAAAAAGTTTATAAAACAGCAAGAACTATTTTGTTCGCTGCCACATTACCAGTGTCCTTTGGCCTTCGAAAACCTTCCCTGCGATACTGAAGGTGGCCACCAGAGGGAAGTGGCGAAGCGCCTAAACAGGAGGCGGCACACGCAGAGGCCAACTGGGTTCCTCTTGCTTGAGACTGGCCTGGTCTCCTCAGAGCAAATGAGACCCCAGCTCCTCTCAGCAAAGGAGGGAGAGTGTGGTCTGACCAGTTTATAGGGGCAGTGCACTCAGCTACCTGTGAGAATGTGGGCTGGAGTTGTCAGGTCTGATTTTCCTAGAGAAAGCAGAAATCCACATTTTCATGTGGAATATCCTGATTTTTAAATGTTGGCAACTCACTAATTTTAAAATTTGGGTATGAAGGAGGCCAAACAACAGAACAATGAAGGCTGCATTCATCAGTTTATGACCTGTGACCCCAGCCCTCTAGGTAAGAGTGAAGTCAGATGTTAGAATCCTAAATGTTTTTGACTTAAATCTGAACCCTACTTTGGGCAGAGATGCCACAAGAGGGCAAAGAGATAAGGTCTCAAACATCCCCTCAGTAACTCATCTCACCTCCACCCCCTTCATCCAGAACCACTCCATTTCATCTGTTTTATATACTGATGTTTCCCTATACCCTAGTTTAAACAAAAATTTTGGTAGCTTTTAAACGAAAGCTTGGAAACTACTGCTCCAATCCAAATAAGTCATTCTTGGTGGGGAAATTGAGGTCCAGAGAAGGCAAGAGTTTGGCTATCTTTCCTCAGACACACTTGTCTTCACAACAGAGTCAGGCTGTGTGGTTGAAGAAGAAAGGAGAGTGCCCTCAAGGTGACTGGGAAGGTCAAGGTCAGTTACTGTTGGAGAACCACTGCTCAGGGCCTCCCACTGTGTGCAGGGCAGTCCTGGACTTTGGGGATGAAGAGGGTACACACGAGGGCCTGTCCTCTGAAAGACTGGCCTCCAGAAGAGAAACATAGGGCCATTCAAGCGCCTCTCCCCTTCGCTCTCTGGGTCACCCAGCCAAAGGGAGGCCCCGGCTGCACAGTGGAAGGACAGCGAGATTGGGGGTGCTTGCCACCCTCTTGGCAGGTCATTCGTTTGGCCACCTGCCACCAGGAAAGACACACACACAGCCTTCTCCACATTTCTGTCTCCTGGTTCCAGAAACTGCTCCCTCACCTCACCCATTCTGGAGCTCAGCTATGCTATTCTGCACATTCCCTCCTTAATTTCTTTAGACCTTTGTAAAGTCTCTTTTTTAAAAGCTCACCTCTATTTACCCATTTTGGGCATGCCATCTGTTTCCTATGACAGCCCACCTCCATTTCCACGTGTCACCTGTACTATTATTATCTATTAGTAGCTTTCTTTAAATTGACCAAATTTTGTGTAGTTTGTTTATCATTATTTGCTTACTGTTATTATTACTACCTGGGCTTCCCAGGTGGTGCAGTGGTAAAGAATCCACCTGCCAATGCAGGAGACTCAAGAGGTGCAGGTTCGATCCCTGGATCAGGAAGCTCCCCTTGCCTGAAGAATCCCATGGACAGAGGAGCCTGGCGGGCTACAATCCACAGGATCGCAAAGAGTTGGATGTGACTGAGCAACTGAGCATGCACATACATTACTACTACTTACCACCCTAAGGAATCCTCTCTATAGAATCGCAATGCTCTGCAAGCTGTTCTTTCTAATCCTCATTAAAATTAAGTTCATCACTCATTTTGAAAAAATTAAAATGTTTTCCCCTGTCTTCTAGCTACTATCTACTTGCATGTGGCCCCACACTCAGGAAATGGTGACACTGCAAAAGAAAGGGCTCCCCTAGGTTCCACCCAGCACAGGCACCTCAGAGGGAAGAGTGATGAGTTCTCAGAGGAGGTGACATTTTGTGGGAGGGGTGGGCAACAGCATGAGGAAAATTTCAGAGAAGGGAAACGCAGGGGGCAGCTGGGACTGGCAGCTGACGGGAGTGCCTTGAGGGTCGTGATGAGAGCTGAGCCTGCAGGGGCAGGTTGAAGCCAAATTCTGAAAGGACTGGAGTGTCATGCTAAGTTTAGACTCTCTCTGTGCACAGAGTCCCAAATATGTTTTCTGGGGAGTCAGCAGCTCAGGGAGTCAAGTTTGGAAAATTACAGGTTCAACAAAGGTAGGTTTTTTACTGCAGGACTTATCAGAGCCTTTACTATGCTCATGTACATCAATTCTCTCCAAGATCAATTTACCATCTTTCCTCAATTCTACAAAGCTGCTTATTGACAGGGGTCAGCCAGCTTTTAAGGCAAAGGGCCACACAGTCAATATTTTGGGTTTTGCAAGCCACATATGGTCTGTCTTGCATATTTTTTCCCTTACAACCCTTTAAAAACGTAAAAATCATTCTCAGCTCATGGGCTGTGCAAAAACAGGTCAAAGGCCATATCTGGCTGTGGCTATAGTTTACTGAACTCTGGATTATAAGACATATCATGCTTTTTAAATGTCACTTACCAGGGGTGAGGGGACATGAACCTATTAAGTGTATGTGTCAACTGAAAGATAACTACCAGTTTCAAGAATGTTAAAATGTAGAGGGGAGAACACTGGGGGAATATAGTATTTCCCAAACTTTTTTTGACTTGAAGTCCTTTTTCTGCAGAGCAGCTCAAAGAGTGTTCTGAGAAACCTGCTTTGGGGAAGGCTACTATGGGAGCAGATGGGCCCCTGGCCTGGGAAAGGAGAGGTGCCCCTACCTGGATTCTCTCGATCTTCTTGTGCATCATCTCCATGTCGTTGTTGAGCTCTGTGACATATGTGAACCGAGCAAAGTTCTTCTCCTCCTTGGCCAGAAACTCCTCGATGAGCTGATTCAGGTTCCCAGTCTTTATCAGTTTCAACAACCGGAGGTGAGCCACCTCGTAGCTCTCAAAACTCTCGCCCTTGCTCTTCTTCCCAAACTTCTTTGCCTTAAGAACTAGAAAAGGAAGAACCAGCAACTGTGAGTCTGAAAGGGAAGCCATTCAGAGCAGAGCTTGGCAGAGGAAAGAGCTCCATAACATTATCACTGTGCCCCAGAGAGGGGGCAAGACTTTCCCAGGACAGGGAGGGGGAAGGTGAGAAATGGAGTTTCTCAGAAACACACTTCTAGCCATACAGTTGCAAATGAGAAGGTAGAAAGGGACAGAAGGGCTAAAAGACCAAAAATCAAATGCAGCTACACAGGCGGCTCTCTGAAGAACTCAGATCTTTCAACATGTTCAGGAGAGAGTTAACAAAGCAGCCCTGAGACTGCTCTGCTTAGAAAGGTCTGTTTGCAAGGCTGGCCCTTCACCTTCATCTGGGAACTTAAATGGTGAACATTTCCCTACACTGATATAAAACTGTCCACAAATGGTTAAGAGTGGCTCCTGTGCCCTGACTGTATGAACAGTGTGGCCTATGCCGACATCTGCCTTCCTGCTGGGAGGCTGGAATCTTGGGATGTGCTGGGGAGAGAGGGCCTACACGACCAGCCCCCAGGAAGAATCTTGGGCATCAAGTCTCTAATGAGCTCCCCAAGTAGATGACTCTTCACATGTGTTGTCAGAATTAGAGGCTGGAGGAATCAAGCATAAGCTGTGTGACTCCACTGGGAGAAGATCCAGGGAGCTGGGCCTGGTTTCCTCTGGACCTCGTCCCGTGCATCTTTTCTCCCTGCTGATGTGTCTGCATCACAGCCATGTTTGCAATGATACACTGAGTCTTGTGAGTCCTCCTTCAGAATCTCCAAACATGGCTAGGGCTGCAGCAACCTCCAATAAAACAAGTTCCTCCTCTAAATAATGGAAGCAGAGCCACAAGGTGAGGACACATCCTGTAGGTTAGCGATGGCGGATAAAATCCAACTCATCTAGTTAAATTTGAATTTCAGACAAACAATGTATTTTTAAAAGTATAAATATGTCCCAATTGGAGATAAACCACAAATAATTCTTTAGTGTAAGTATCTTTCAAATATTGCATGGGACTAAAATTTTATTCTTTATCTGCAATTGAAATTTAATGGTGTCTTGTATTTTTATTTGCTAAATTTGGCAACCTTGCTATGAAGAGACTTGGGCACCTTCAGTTGGGAGAAAGAGGTATTCAGTGGAGAGAGATACCTTCTTCCTTTTTGGACTGCTCCTCGAATTCAAGACGGTCATTCAGCTTGACGAGCAAGAAGGATTTGAGCTTGGTTTCGTGGTCGTAGACACGCTCCAGCTCTCGGATCTCCAGGCTATACTGAGAGATGTCCTTCTGCTGGCGGTCCTTCATGGCAGCCATTCGGGCCATGGCCTCCAGCCTGGGTGGGGCGGGGAACACAAACACAGTCTGAGTGTCCAGAGGCTCCTTCCTTCTCCCCCCGCCTTCTCCCTACCAGTCCAGGCAGACTTCATTCCTGGTCAGTGATCACCCCTTCTTTTAATCATGGAGATTTCTGGGAGTAGAGGAACCACCTTCCTCACCTGAATGACAGGAGCTCACAACCCTAGACCACCATCAGGAAATGATTTTCTATCATCATCTCTGTCACCATCCTTATCATCATCATGACCACCGCCACCACTACCATCAGCATCACCACCACATCAGCATCATCAAACATCACTATTATCACGATTACCGTCATCATCACCACTTGTCAAGTATAATACTATGCCCCAGCCACTCCCTTATATACTCATATTTTTTAATATTTATTTATTTTGGCTGCACCAGGTCTTAGTTGCCGCATGCGGGATCTTCGATCTTCATGCAGGATCTTCTGAGCAGCAGCAAGCAAACTCTTAGTCTCGGCATATGGGATCTAGTTCCCTGACCAGGGATTGAACCTGGCTCCCTGCACTGGGAGTGTCTTAGCCACCAGGGAATTCCCTATACTAATATTATTTAATCCTCACTTCCACTCAAATAAGTCCTACAATAAATTAGTTGTGATGGAGCCAGGATTCAAACCCAGATCTCTCTGGCTCCAAAACCTGCACTCTTCTCATGTGAACTGCATGCCTTTTGCCCCTCCGGGGGTGAAGCCAGGAAATAGTCCAGACTGAGAGGGGTCCCTAGGACTAGAGGCAGGGACGCCTGGGGGGAGATGATACAGAATAGGGGTTTAAATCTCAGCTCCACCACATCTGCCACTTACCTGCATCTCAGGTAAGCATTTTGACATCTCTAAGCCTACATTCCCTGGCCTGTAAAATTGAGATAATAACTCCTAGGGCTGTGGTGAGGGTTGATATACTACCCAGAGCACCTAGCATCATGCTTGGCAGACACACAACCAGGGCTCGGAGTCACGATGATGATGGTTTCACGTTTCTCCACACATAAGCAGAGTGGGTAGAGGAGTAAGAAGCCCAAGAGGTGGCTGAGACATCTCTGCCCTCAAGAGTCTCTCCCCAGGCTTACCTCTGCTCGTAGGCCTGCGCAGACTGCTCGATGGCCACATTCATTGTTTTCTTTTGCATCAACAAGCGCCGATGAAGATGCTGGTAGATGTTGTCGTAAGCAGCCTTCTCATACCTCAGGTCCTCGATCTCCTTCCGGAGCTTCGCGTTGGTGGTCAGCATCTGGTCAAAGTGTACAGTGACCTGCAAGGAGGGCTGTGCTTCAAAACAAGGCTCGTTCCTGGGGCATGAGACAAGCTTCCAGAAGGCAGCCAGAGGGTTGAAGGGTCTTCCCCTCCCCTCCCACCCCAGGCCCCCCAGAACCACGGTTGGAGCGCTGCCTGGCCTGCATGTACACCATCGTTCACCTTCTCCTGACTCAACCAATGAAATGTACGCCTGCTAATGGCTTCACAGACATCATTCCTTCCTTCTCCGAAGGGAGGGAGAGCTGTCTACAGAGATTTCTGTTTGGCCACGTTGCACTCTGTGGGATCTAAGTTCTCCACGTGTTCCAAGTGCATTCATGCACACGTGCTCAGGTGTGTCAGACTGTGCAACCCTATGGACTACAGTCCACCAGGCTCCTCTGTCCATGGGATTTCCCAGGCAAGAATACTGGGAAATACTGGGGTGGGTTGCAAGTTACTTCTCCAGGGGATCTTCCAAACCTAGGAATCAAACGCATGTCTCCTGCACTATAGGTGGGTTCTTTACCGATGAGCCATAGGGAAACCACTTAAGCCTCCAGGGATCAAACCCGTGCCCCCTGCAGTGGAAGCAGGGAGTCCGAACCATTGGACAGCCAGAGAATTCCCCCAGAAGACACCTTACATACAAGATTCAAACGGGTTTCCAAAACATGGATCTGTTTCTGCAGTTTCCAGGGGTTATTGGCCTCCTGTATTTTTGTGAAGATCTGTCTTTGGGTTACAATCTTTTTCTCCATCTGAACAATCTGAAAAAAAGAGAGAGAGGGAAGACCCAACGGTGTTAACATCTGTATGGGGACAAATGCAATAGTTCACTAACTCAAGCATGCTAAAACAAAAACTACCATGTTATTTCTTTTCCTATGAATAGAATTTTAATTTCTCTCTTGGATGCGTACTCAACTTACTCTTAGTCAGTTTGGGACAAAAATGAGCAACTAAGAGTTTTTATTCTCACTTGTGCGTGTAAATTTCACTCACATATGGGCAAAAATTTCACCTGACCCTAAAGCCACTGTTTTCCTTGAGAAATGGCATTGATCCCCCAAGAAGCCTTCTGTAACCTTGTTTTTGTTTGGTTGGCAGGTTTTTTGTTTCTTTTTCTGACTCTTACAATAATGGGGATGCTAGCGACCCTTAAAGAGCAAGTCATGAGGTGTCACACACCCTGCAACATGTAAGACAGCACCAGACATCCAAAAATTGACCCCCATCCCTTGTGATTATCCAGTGTGCCCTGGATGTCAGGCAAGGGAAAAATCCTCTATAATCTTCTGTACCTAGAATCAAAATGTCTTTTACATATACACACACAGCATTTTTCATTCTCTCTTTTTTTAAATTTTTGGCTGTGCTGGATCTTTGCTGCTGTGCATGGGCTTTCTCTAGTTGCAGAAAGCAGGGGCTACTGTCTAGTTGCAGTGCACAGGCTTCTCACTGCTGTGACTTCTGCTCTGACTTCTCGGAGCACAGGCTCTAGAGTGCATGTGCTTCAGCAGTTGTGGCTCCTGGCCCGTAAAGCACAGGCTCAATAGTTGAGAAGCATGGGCTTAGCTGCTCCGCAGCATGTGGGATCTTTTCCAGCCAGGGGTGAAGCCCACGTCTCCTGCACTGGCAGGTGGATTCTTTACCACTGGACCACCAGGGAAGTCCTTTCATTCAGTTTTGGAGTCACTGTATAAATCAAGAGAATGTTCATTGATTTGTCTGGAACTTAACCAAGAGTTGGCCATCATTTTGGAAATCTTGACACCAGCACAACCTGGAACATCTTGTGGTTTTTGTTTGGCCATGCTGGGAGGCTTGTGGGCCTCTGAGTTCCCTGACCATGGATTGAACCTGGACCACTGAAGTGAACACAGCAACTCCTAACCACTGGACGGCCAGGGAATTCCCATGGATCATCTTCTTTGAGTCGTGGACACAAGCCCAAATCAGTCTGCAGTGTGGAATCTGGCCTACTGCCTGTTCCCATAAAGTCTTACTGGCACACAGCCATGCCCATTCTTTGCATTGTCTATGACTGCTTTCAGGCTATGAAGGCAGAATGGAATAGCTGCAACACAGACCATGGCCTGTAAAGCCAAAATATTTACTATCAGGCCCTCTGTGGAGCAGTTTGCCAGCCCCGTTCTAGATAAGTCAGGCCAAAACATGAACATATCGAAATACACATAATTTTAGTATAAATAGCTTTCCTTTATGTTTCCTTTATATTATAGTCATAGCATCATATTGATTTAAAAGAAGAAGGGTAAAGGATTATACCATCTATGAATTTTAATTCAGAATTATAAAGGAGGTATTATAAAATATTTGCTGTTTAAAACAGGTGCTGGCAGTTGAGTGATTCATAATTTCAAGTGCCAATGATGAGAAAATGATTAAGTTCATTTAGGCTCAGGACTTGTTAAAAATATGCTTTCCTCAGAACTTCCTCTGCTTTTATGGGCACAGATCTCAGCAGCCTCTCTTAAGGGGTAGCAGCTTGTATCATTTAGGAACACATACAACAACAAATTACAGAAAGCCTGGCTAAATAGTGGTTTAAACAAATTATGGTTTATCTTTCTCTCATAATACATTGATGGCTTAAGTTCAGTAACTGAAGGATGTAAGGACAAGATCTGTATAGTTCACCTGACTTCTCCCTTAAAACATGGCTGCCATAGCACCAGCCTTCACAGTTATGTTCCATGGAGGAAAACAGAGGAAGAAATATGGATGAAGGGTAGGACCTATATCTAAGATGCTTGCTCCTTCAAAGAAAAGCTATGAAAAATCTAGATATTATATTCAAAAGCTTTTGATGGCATATTAAAAAGCAGAGACATCACTTTGCCAACAAAGGTCTGTCTAGTCAAAGCTATGGTTTTTCCAGTAGTCATGTATGGATGTGAGAGCCAGACCATAAGGAAGGCTGAGCACTGAAGAACTGATGCTTTCAAACTGTGGTGCTGGAGAAGACTCTTGAGAGTCCCTTGTACAGCAAGGAGATCAAACCAGTCACCCTAAAGGAAATCAACCCTGAATATTCATTAGAAGGACAGATGCTGAAGCTGAAGCTCCAATACTTTGGCCACCTGATGCAAAGAGCCGACAATGGAAAAGACCTTGATGCTAGGAAATATTGAGGGCAGGAGAAGGGGATGACAGAGGATGAGAAGGTTGGATGGCATCATCAACTCAGTGGACATGAGTTTGAGCAAGCTCTGGGAGATGGTGAAGGACAGGGAAGCCTGGCGTGCTTGCAGTCCATGGGGTTGCAGAGAGTTGGACACAACTGAGTGACTAAACAACAACAAACCAGTTGGAGTCTCTGAGCTGGAGGGGCATCTGGTAGGGAAACGTCCGGAAAACGTTTCCTTATTCCTAAAAGAGAGTCATAGGAAGAGATGGTCTGTCTTCTCTTGAAGATGTTGTTCCACATGGATGTGGTGTCTGGAATTGCTGCTGCAGTCCTGCCCACAAAGGACAAATACTTTGATAACCTAACTGAGCTGCTGAATCAACCATCCTGAAGCTTGTAATATTTTTATATTTCCTGTTGGTTTTAGTCACTAAGTCGTGTCCAACTCTTTGCAACCTCATGGACTGTAGCCCGCCAGGCTCCTCTGTCCATGGGATTTCCCGGGGCAAGAATGGTGGAATGTTGCCATTTCCTTCTCCAGGGGATCTTCCCAACCCAGAGATCAAACCCATGTTTCCTTCATTAACAAGCAGATTCTTTACAACTGAGCCACAAGGGAAGCCTGCTACTTCCTGTTAAACAAGATAAAAACATTTTCTTATTGCCAGTACTTTACTCAGGGAAGGTGGGCTCTGCCCCCAGGCCCAAGGGATAAATCATCATCCATCTAAACCAGAGGCTGGGAATCTTTTCCTAAAAAGCCAAAACAGTAAATATTTTAGGCTTTGAGGACCAAGAGACTCAAATAACTATTTTAGAATGTGTGAGTATGTAGATACTCACATATGTAGTATGTAGATACTCACATAACCATTTAAAAAGCAAACATTTAAGATGTAAAAAACAATTCTTCACTGGAGGACCATAAACAAATAGACAAGACTTGGTGCTTGCACCATAATCTGCTGCCCCTGGTATACCTCAAACCAATTCTGGAAATTCCATAATTTCCCTTTACCAGTGATTGGCAAAGGAATGGACCTATACCCCAACCCTGGCCAATCAGAGAAAATCTGCTGGAGGGATTTTGTGAGTTATTCTCCCTTTCATAAGAAGAGACTATAATGGAGGAAAAACTCCCATCCATTCTTTATATTTTTGAATGCAATTATATGAAATATTATACCAGCTAATGTATATTATATCATTATACAAGATGGCTATTTGGCAGCCATGAGGCCAAAAGAGTCTCAGAGAAAAATAAAAATCCATCATTGTAGAGCTGCTAAACCATCCCTAGGATGGTCTATTTCCAGTCAGACATCTTATTATGTGGGAAAAACAAACCTCTATTTTCCCAGCTGTGTTCAGTCAGGAATTGCATTACTTGCAGCCCAACACATTTCTCAAGCAAGATGGTGGCTCAGAAGATCGGACATCAAGGGAACCAGTGGATCTCACACAAAACTGGCAAGGTACAGAATTGCTGCTCATGATTGACATCAGCCAGGTTTTGGACTTTAGCTGGAACACACTGTCTCTCTCCCCCACAAATTCCCTCATAGCAAAATCAAATTGCTTCATCAGTGCTGACAAAGTCAGGTTCAAGTCAAGCCAGATTCCTTTTCCGCTTGGCTCTCCTTTCCTGTTCTATGCACAAAGGCAACATCCTCAACACAAACCCACTCCTGCTCTCTTCTGAAATAAAACAAATGACTTGTTTTGATTTATGGGAGGGTAGCGTCCTCCCCCATATATCAGGTGTGGACTCTGCTGCTCTGAAGGGCTGCCTGTCCCTGCCTGAGCTGACCCCTAGAGTCCTCAGGCTCCAGCTCCTTGCCAAAGGAAGTTATGGCATCAGCTCTTGTAACTAAATTCAGAGCTGTATTCCCTTTGGCACCTTTATGTCAGACACTGCTTTCATGATGCTGCAAGTAATTAGGCTTCAGCCCAATGGGAGACATTACCCAAGCCTGTAGCTGAAGGGGAAATGCACTGCCTACACGAGATGCCCAGCAGGAAGGCATCAGCTTATTAATTATTCTGTGAGGCCAAGCAGGGCCCAGTGGTATCCTTGCCTCCAGTGACCCCTTAAAAGGACAAAGTTCTGGGCACTGTGCGGTGGACACAGCAGGAGGGGATCCTGGGAGCTGGGATGGAATTAGACCAAGAAGGTTTTTGTGCTGGGCAGTGAGTGCCATACTCTTTGGAGGATTAGCAAACTAAATCGCCTTTTCTAATGTTTCTGAGAATCCACATCCCTGTTTCTTTTTTCAATTTTTCTTTGTTCACCTTTTAAAGCTTTTTTTTCCCTTTGATGTGCACCATTTTTTTAAAGTCTTTATTGAATTTGTTACAATATTTTTTTTTCAATGTTTTGGTTTTTTGACCGCAAGGCATGTGAGATTTTAGCTCCCCAACCAGGGATCAAACCTGCACCATCTGCGTTGAAAAGCAAAGTTTTAAGCACTGGACCACCAGGGAAGTTCCCTCTTTGTTCACGTTTATTGCTTTCTTCTCATACATTCATATATTCATTCATTCACTCATTCATCAATGTTTATCAAGCCACTGCTTGATGCCAGACAACAGGGGCACCAGACAGAGTGGTCCCTGCCCTCAGGGAACCTAGAGTCTAGGACTGGAAACAACCCAGGAAGCATGTTGAGTTCTAGCAGAGGGGAGATAGCAGATAATTTGGACACACACAGTAGGGGCACATAGCAGAGAAAAATGAAGGGACAGCTATCCTGCATAAACAGCATTTGAGCTGAGACCCAAAGGATGAATAAGACTCCCCCAAGCAGAGAGGATGGGGCCTAGCACTCCAGGCAGAGGGAACAGCATGTGCAAAGGCAGAGATGAGAGACAGCAGGGTGGATCCATAAAGGCAGCCAGTGTGGATGGAGCACAGAGGACAAGGGGGCGGGGGGGAGGCATTTACTCCAGGATCCAGAGTGCCCTACTTCTCTGAGTACCCCCACTGAGTGTGCTATTTGTTCCTGGCCAGAAACCTAATACCAGGGGGATATACTTTCAACTGGACAGAGGCCATAGAGAAGGCCTCCCTGAGACCTGAGAAAGTCACCTTTAGGCTGAGAAACGGAGAGGGCAATGGCACCCCACTCCAGTACTCTTGCCTGGAAAATCCCATGGACGGAGGAGCCTGGTAGGCTGCAGTCCATGGGGTCACTAAGAGTCGGACACGACTGAGCGACTTCACTTTCACTTTTCACTTTCATACATTGGAGAAGGAAATGGCAGCCCACTCCAGTGTTCTCGCTTGAGAATCCCAGAGGCGGCGGAGCCTGGTAGGCTGCCGCCTATGGAGTCACACAGAGTCAGACACGACTGAAGCGACTTAGCAGCAGCAGCAACAGCAGGCTGAGAAAAAGATAAGCAACTAGGGTGAGGCATTTGGGGGCAGCATATGCAAAGGCCCTGAGGTGAGAAAAGACAGCATTATTTGGGGGGAAAAAGAGAAAGTCTTTTGCAGCTGGAGTGAGAAGACTTAAGGAAGGAATAACATGGGATGAGCCTAGAGGGGTAGGCAGGGGCTAGATCACATAGTGACTTTCAAACCACAGTAAGGGATGAATGCTGTCCAGCAAATGTCTCTAGCTTTTTGTTTTCTGGACCCATGAGGACTGCACTTCCTAGGCCCTTTTGTGAATGGGTAGAGTTGACTATTTTTGGATGGGTATGGGCACTGGGGGTATTTATGGGTTCTGTAGACTGTCTTGAGTCAATGTGTCATGAGCAGATGTGAGGGTGAGACCCCCACATCAATTGCCAGGGTGAGACCCTCAGGATCTCATTTTTTTCTACCACAACCCCTGGCAGTGTCCAAGATGGGGGCTATCCCACCGGCCTGGACCCAGGATGAGAGGATTTAAGAGCCCCTAGCCAATCTACAATAGACCATAAATCATGTATGAAAAAGAAACCTCTGTTGTTTTAAACCACTGAGTTGGGGAGAGGGAGTGTTTGTTACTGCAGCATACCTAACCTCTCCTGACTGATACAGTAAGGACTTGGGCATTTATTCTAAGTATAATAGGGAGGCACTGGAGACCACAGTGGGGAAATGGATCAATAGAACTGAGAGATTAGGGGTTACAATGGTGGTAGAGACAGGTTTAGAAAAGCCAGCAGTGCAGGGTATGGTGGGGAGTACACCTCCCCCACTCCCTCTCCTTGCTCAGTGTTCTGGTTAACCCTTTAAGAGAAAGACCACACCTTCTCATCCAGTTCAGCCAACAGCAGTTTCATTGATTTAATCAGGGCCTCATAGTCCTCCTTAGTTTGCAGCAGGAAACGCAGTTCCATGTAGTTTTTCTCATTGAGATCCAGGTTCCTGGAGGACTTGATGAGATTCAAAAGCAGGGTGATCTCATCTTGCTCCTCTTGCAGGGTCTTGATTTCCTTGCTGTTGGGAAAGCAGCACATGATTAACCCTGAACCCCTGGCTTTGCCTGGATCGGACACTCCAGGCCCCTTGACCCTGAAAGGAAGACTCAGAGAGGTACTTCCCAACCCGGCGAGTTGGGAGGGACTCACTCAAGGTCTCTAGTCCAGGTCCTGAACTTACATCACCTCTGACCCAGTTCACTGCAACTTCCACTGCTCTGCACCCTTCTCTGAGTGATACTTTTTTTTTTTCTCCTCAGAACATTTTGCAGCTGTGCCTGTCAAAACCCATTACCTAGACATGGTGGGAGCCCCCAAGTTTTCTTTTGCCAGCAGCTCACTGGCATCTGTCTGATTTCGCAGACCTTCTTTTCCAGCTTTCCAGCCAATTATCTCTGGTAATGACAGGCAAACCCACCAGATAGGATCTTTCGACTGTGCATCACCACAGAACTGCACAGGAACCTGTAACCCCCACCAGCTCCTCTATTCAGGGGCTAATGATTTATGAAATTGGCTGACATGAGTCGTCTTTCTCTCCCTTGTCTACTCTGGAGAAGAGAGGAGGTCGAGGACGTGGGCAAATGGAGATTTTGCAAAGAAAAGAAGGCTCGGGCAACTGTACAGCAATTGAACAACGTGAAATTGGCACAGAGGCCGAATTTCTTGCAAAGTCCTTGCAGCCTATTCCCACTGCTCAGTGTGATTTGCAGGCTTGCAGCCTCAATGACCTTTGGAAACTTGGAGAAATGCAGCATTTCAGGTCCCAACCCAGGATCTACTGAATCCGAATCTGCTTTGCAACAAGATGCTCAAGTGACCTCTATGCACTTTAAAGTTTTGGAAGCACCACTCTAGAACAGTAAAGAACATTCAAGGGCAGGGGTCTGCAAAGACTTTTCTATAAAGAGTAAAGAGTAAATATTTTAGGTTTTGTGGGCCAGAGGACCTCTGTTGCATCTATTCAACAGAGCAACCATATGAAACACAAAAATGAATAGGTGTGGCTATGTGCCAGTAAAACTTCATAAAAACAGGCCACCAGTAAGACTTGGCTCATTAGCCACTCCTGCTCTAAAGCAGCACTGTCCAGTAGATTACTCTGCAGTGATGGAAATGTTCTCTAGTTGCTCTGATAGCATCCACCAGGCACATGTGGCTCCTGAGCACCTGAAATGTGGCTGGTGAAACTGAAGAACTGAATTTCTAATTTTATTTTTTTGTAACTAATTGCCAATGTAAATGGCCACATGCGCCTAGGGGTCACTGAGAGCACATCTAGTTCCAGAGCATCTTGTCTTCTAAACCTGGCCCTTGGGACTTCTCTGCCCCTCTTAAGCCCCTCATGGGAGGGGTCTTTGTAAAGGTACAGAGGAAAAAGAGAGAGAGCAGGATAATCCATCAAAGACAGGCTTTCAGGGTGTAGTGAGGTCAGAGAAAAGCAAAAGGAAGGTTTGTCCATCTTTAGGCAGGGCTGGGACTGCAGTGAGGGGAGTGAGGTGCTTCAAAAATTAAGGAAATCTTCACTCTCAGGGTGGTATAGGTGCAAGGTCAGCACTGGGAAAAAGCACTTCCTTAAATATTGTACCCTAACTACCTCACTTACCTCAGCCCAGTTTTCCTCCTATTTTGGGGTGTTTATGTCTACTCTTCCACTCCCCTCCCCCACTTCAGTTCCATCACAGTGAAACCAGATCAAATGGACCAGGGTAGGGTAGAGTAGGATGCAGAAGAGTAAGAAAGATTCAAGAAAAACTGAAGACATACCAAGAAGTAGGCATTTCCTGATGCCCACACCAAGGATAGGCTGTGAATCAAGATCTCCAGGCACAGAAGTGCAGGTTGTGGACTGCACAGCCCAAGGGAGCACCATCTACTTGAAAACATATCACCGATTTGCTGATTTATTGTACTTTTCTGAGAGACAGTTCAGTTCAGTTCAGTCCAGTCGCTCAGTCGTGTTAGACTCTTTGCGACCCTATAAACAGCAGCACGCCAGGCCTCCCTGTCCATCACCAACTCCCAAAGTCCACCCAAACATCCATTGAATTGGTGATGCTGTCCAACCATCTCATCTTCTGTCATCCCCTTCTCCTCCTGCCCTCAATCTTTCCCAGCAACAGGGTCTTTTCAAATGAGTCAGCTCTTCGCATCAGGTGGCCAAAGTATTGGAGTTTCAGCTTCAGCATCAGTCATTCCAATGAATATTCAGGACTGATTTCCTTTAGGATAGACTGGTTGGATCTCCTTGCAGTACAAGGGACTCTCAAGAGTCTTCTCCAACATCACAGTTCAAAAGCATCAGTTTTTCGGTGCTTAATTTTCTTTATAGTCCAACTCTCACATCCACACATGACCACTGGAAAAACCATAGCCTTGACTAGACAGACCTTTGTTGACAAAGTAATGTCTCTGCTTTTCAATATGCTGTCTAGGTTGGTCATAACTTTCCTTCCAAGGAGTAAGTGTCTTTGGCCGTGTTTTAACAAAATCTCTACATAACAATGATGTTTCCAACAGGTGGCAGTAAAGAATCTTGAGGAAAGGGTGCCTTTTTCTAATTCACAGTGATTCCATATTGACTAGCAGTGGCTCTGAGTAAGCCAATCCATGGAAAATCTAAAGAACTCCTCTAGCCTCTGAACTTCACACATCATCTAACAGTCAAATTTTCTTTCTAATAACAGGCAGTTACTGCCTGTATAAACGTTTTAGATGTAGTTAAGGAATCACCTTTCCTTGGACGGAATCTAAGAATGCCTGTTTAATGTTTGTTTCTTCAACCCCCGAGAACACCTTTCTGTTGCCCAAGGAAAACTATATATAATTTCTAGGGCAACTCAATTTCAAATATTCAGTCTTTAAAAAAAAATAAAAATATTCAGTCTTGAAGATCCCAAAAGGTCACACAAGCAGGAAACGTCCTTTGGGGTATTCACTGCCGGGTGATTTCTCCTTCTCTGGGAACTCCCCACCTTCATTGCTAGAACCACTGGGGATACCCATATCTATTTTTCGTCCTATAGTTCAACCCCTAGGCTACAGCTGATTGGGCCAGAAGCAGACACCAGACCCAAGCTGAGACAATCAGATTCTCCCTCTCCTGAAAATTCTGGGATGGATTCTCAGAATTCTGGAATTGATTAAGGACAGTCTCTCTGTGTTGCCCTTGGTAGCTCAAGAATTAGAGGAAGCCATCTCCCACCAGCCACAGCTGAGACTCAAGAGAAGGAAGAACAAAACTCATGTGTTGAAAGAAACAGGAACCAGAAATGGCTTCTAGTTTGGGTCCTTTCCTGAAACATGGGTGCTCTGCTCTCCTTGGGGTCCCTGAGACACCCTGAACTTTGAGAATTTATCTCCTTTCCCCACTGAAGCTATCCCAAATGGGTCCATGCCCCAGAGGCCACATCAGAAGGCAAGCCCCATGAAACCAAACCCCAAATTTTCTCTGACCATCACTTACTGCTGGTTCGTGATCTTCCGCTGGGAGCGGAAGTTAAAGGACTTCCGACTGTCCACCATCTTCCGGAACTGCTGCCTCAGCTTCCGAAGCTCCCCCTCAGCCAGCTGCTCTTTGGTCTTCTCTGAAGGTTCCTGGGAACTTTCAGGGTCTTTTCTCCTGTACTTCTTCTGAGTGAGACAGGGTGGGTATTAAGCAACAGGTTAGGTGACTAGAAAAGCCCACATTTCAACTCAAGGATGGAAGGCAAGAAGGGTGCTTGGGGCAGAGCTAGAGTTGAAAGACCACCCTTGGGTGATGTCAACTGCTTGTGTGTTACATTGAAAACCTGCCCTGGGTTGCTGGGGTGGAGAGGAGACTGGACTTCATTATTACATACTGAAGAGGTGGCCTTGCTGTGTGGCCTTGGGTGAGTCACTTAACATCTCTGAGTCTCCAGTCTTTCATCTATAAAACGGGTACACACAGATTTGCTGTCAAGATTCCATGAGCTAATATGTATTTAGTGGACAGCACAATGCCTAACCCCAAAGTAAACCCTCTATACATAGGAGCTATTATTACCCACCATTGGCATCTTGAAGGAACTGTGCTTTATCTCTGCTCAGACACCGTACCCAGGGAGGTCAAAGCCAGCAAGTGCCCCTTTCTCTCTCTGCAATGCCCTGTCCACAGTGGCAAAACAAAGAAAACTCGTGAGCCACCTCTGCTGCTGGTGCCGGACCCAGCAGCACCCTCTCCCTTCTCCACCCGCCGCAGACCTCCCTCCTCCCACAGTTTGGCACCAGAGGAGGACATGACAGATGGCTGCCCGGGTGTGAAAAGAGGCTTTTTTTTTTTTTTTTTAAGCAATGTTTTCCTGAAACCTGTTCCTCTCCCAATTTATTATTAGGAGCCAGGCAGATGGTTCTGGCATGTTGGTCACCCTCTTGCTCCCTGTGTTCCCAAAGAAGAGGGGCAAAATGGCATCAAGGCAGTGTGTCCTCTGATGGGGTTACATTGAAATTCACCCAGCTTCAGCTGTGAGGACAACCTCCCCTCGCTTTTAAAAGCAGAAGCCAGTTGTACTGAGATGCATTAGGTATTCAGAGGTGCAAACAATGCTAACTCTATGAACTCCATGGGGCTGTAAGATCCACTGCACCCCAACTTCCAGACTTCAGGAACTAAATTCCTAAACTAGAAACTCTGAGCTCTGCCACCCACTGAAGGGTCCTACAGTACAGCAGTTTAAAGCATTGCTGTATCAACCATCAAATCTCAGCAAAAATTCCTCCTTGGCCACTTGTTAACTTTGGACAAGTCATTTCAGTTTTCTGGGCCTTGATTTCCTCATCTGGAAAATAGGAGAAATTCTAGAAGCCATTTCAGGTTGTTCAGCAGGTAAGGCACTAAACCAAGCACAAAGTAAGAACTCAGTAAATGGGAGCTGTTATGATATGCTGTTATATGGGTCTTTTCATATGATGACAGTTTAGCATTAAAAAAATTTATGTGGGCTTATGGGGCATCCAGCATTCCTCTGTCTCCTGTAGCAATACCTGGAATTTCCAGTAGGAAGCTACCCTCTCCCTCACTCCTGGTCATTTCTGGATTGGAACCTGTGACTCTGGATGAGCCAATCATAGTGCCAGAACCCTGGCCAATCTGTATAATCTCAGGGCCCTGGCCCAAGTGATCAATTCTGTGATAGGTCCATGACCCCAAGCAGAGTAAATGGTGGAATTTAAGCTTGCACAGTCAGGAAGAGGGAAATTCTGTTTCCTGCTGCACTTTAACCTGTGAATGGGGTTGGGAGTGGCTGGCAACCATCTTGCCTCTTCAGGGAGCCTAAGAATAACGCTATCTTGGAGAACAGAAGACAAACTCAAGAGAAATTTAACCTTGGGGGAATCATCTGAGGCCCTGGATATAGCCAAGCCTGAAGATACTCTGGGTCATGTCCAATTACATGAATCGGCATATTCACTTAAAGTAATCCAAGATGAGTTTTCTGTTGCTTGCAACCAAATGAGTTCTCATGGCTGCAGTACCTAAATCTCTTTAGCACACAAACTAAGAGGCTACTGTGTGCTAAACATTGTAAGGAATTCAGGTGTAAGTCAACCTTCAAGGTGCTATGAACCCTGCCCTAGGTAAAATAGTGGGAAAAGGTGCACAAAGAAGATGATTTTCAATTTGGGTTTCAAAGGATTAATAGGAGTTCACCATGCAGAGAAGAAAAGTGGGGAAGAAACTGGGGGTAAAGGGAACTGTCTGGGCAAAGGCTGAGTGGCAAGTGAATAAAAGGAGCGTTCAGAGACAGGTGTGTGCTGTAGTATAGATTGCAGCACCCACTGGGAATAGCCAAGAGGTTTGGAAAAGCCAGGATGTTCCTTAAAAGCAGGGAGGTAAGAAGATCAGCCTTTAAGAGATGAGGTAACTGTCTCCCAACAACCACGTCTCCTGCAGGAAGAGTTGCTGCCACAGTAGCTGCCTGACCAGGGCTTGTACTTCCCAACTCCTCCTGATCCACGCAGGCCTATGAACTCTCACCCATGGGATGTGAGCAGAGGGGTGTGTCCCTCCAGACCATGACTTTAAGAAGTGGATGTGACATTTCCATCTTCTCTTCCCTGCTCTGACATTTATGCGAAGTGCAACCACAGATGGGCAGAGCCACAAGACAGGTCCCCTAAACCAACTTGTGGAAGAAGTCACCTGCCAGCCATGAACATCCTCATTGGACTATTAACCAAAAAAAGAAATTAATTTCTATTATATTACGCCAATGAAATGTGGGAATATCTTGGTTATAGAAGCTAGCTATAACATGTTATAGCTAGCATGACTCTTAGAACACCCTAAGTTCTTAACAGGACTCTGATTTTGTCCCTCCTCAATGTGCCCAGTTCTAGAGGATGAATCATGATTAGTTCCCACTAATCCTAGCAACCCTATTTCCCTTTGTCAATGATTGGTCAAAAGATGAGCATGTGACCCAGATCTGGCCAATGAGACTTCAGGAGAAGTCTATTCCTATTCCTTTATGACAAAAAGAGCTTGTCCATAGTCCCCTTTCTTTTGCTTTTGGAAATTATTGTGAAAGAATGATAGTTGGTGCTGGAGCAACTATCCTATGATCATGAGGAGAAATATCACTGTCACACTAAAGAGAGTGAAGAAGAAATATGGGGGGAAATTTAGGTCCTCACTGACACTGTTTGCCACTGCCCCATTCTTAGAACAGCCTACCTCTTGGCTTCTTGTTAAGTGAAATAGTTAACCGTCACTACTGTTTAAGGTACCCTTATCAAGTATTTTCTTCATTGCAGCCTACAGCATTCCTGCCTTACATGACCCACTACCTTGAAAATGATTCTCAAGTTGCTGGGTGACAGGACAGTAGTGACTGAGGCTACAGGACCTTTGACATTTCCCTAATATGTTCTAGGGGGTTTCTAGAGGATTTGGAGACTAACTGAATTTTGGTAAATCACATCTGAAGGAAAATATCTATTTCTGGAAAATTTCCACAGACAGGGAAGTAGAGTAAAGACTAAAGTTCTATAGCTTGGTTATTTCTGGAAGAGCCCTCAACGTATGCCTAGAGGCTATAGCAGGATTTATTAGACTGAAAAAATTTGGGCAAAGGGTACTCACTTTAGGACCTCTTTAAATTATAGAATTTTGTGCAGCTCCAGTTTCATATGGTCCAGGAGCTTTTCTATATCTAAAGATTCTTTTGATCCTAAGTGGATCTGTAACGCACCTTTCTAAAAGTATGACTAAAGGATATATGACATTCACTGACAATGTGATTTCTCTCTCTGATCTTCAGTCTCCTCATCTGTCGAATGGAGATACCCACATCCTCAGTACAAAATAATGTATATAAAGCTCTTTGCACAGAAGCCTAGCACATAATAGGTGCCTGATGAATGTAACTTGTCTGTGAATCATGATTTTTAAGTATCAGTTTATCTTGCCCTTGAGCTAATTGGTTGTGTTGTATGTTTTCCCCCAAGAACTGGAGACCCCATCAACTTTTACCTTTTTGCTTGATACACATACATACACACAGAAAGAGAACCAGGCTCCTCCTGGGACACTGGCTTTTCTCCAGCTTCTAGACACCAACACAGACCCTCTGAGCCCTCTAGGCTGGGCCCACTCTGTTCCCTGGGAAGAGATCCACCCTCATTTACACAGCTTGGACTTCAGAGAGGCCTGCAGGGTGTCCTGGCCCCTGGCACACCACCCTTTTGGTCAGGGTTCTCAAACTCAAGGCCTATGGGGCAAATTCAACCTGCCTTCAGTTCTGGTTAGCAGGCAGTGTTTTAAAATGTGAATGTGGGTCATGCTGTCTCTCTCCTGACTACAGGCTCTGTTCCTCCCCATTGCCTAACTCCTCCTCCCCTCCATTCCCACATTTCCTGTATTGGGAGCCAGCAAGAATTTGAGTATGCAGTTCTTGGGAGGAATCTCAAAGCTGCCCATGCAGTGGAAAGTGTTAAGAAATCCAGAGGTCCGGGTCAGGAAGCATCATGAAAGTGCCTCCAGCTCCCTGGACCTCCCGCTACCTACTACAGTATCGGTAATCTTGGGCACATGATTAGCTCTTAGCAAATACTATTGGAATGAATGAAGTCTCGTAGTGGGTGGAGACTTTATTGTCTAATATTTAATTAGTTGAGGTAGAGGCGGCAGGCTCCTCCTCTGCTGCTGAATTTTAACAATCTGCCCTTAAAAGAAAATCCTGACCCCCAGAAGGGCTCTGCAGGGCCCCTGGGACAGTTTACTATGTGGATTATAAAGGCCAAGTCTGAAAGAGAAGGATCCTACCAAAATTAAGTCAAGGCTGCATAACCTGGTGGAATGTTAAAACATGCTTGCAGCGCTAAGCGGGGCGCAGAACACAAATTTTTAAAAATTGGGATAGTTTCGGGGGGGGAGTGAAAGTTTGTTGGGCTTCCTTGGAGTTATTTGACAGACTGTAATTTATTTACGTTTAATTGGGGGGGGCCAGGATATTTTCCAAGTTGAGGGGCAGCTAAACCTCTGACGTCGGGGGCCAGGGGCAGCCACCAGGTATTTGATTTCCCCAGCAGGGGGCGCTGTGACGCAGCAGGCGCGGCTGCAAGCGCAGAGAAACTCACCAGCGGCGGCCTGCAGGACCGCTCCCACCGCGTGTCCGACGTCGGCCGCAGCTGCGTGTCGGACGGCGCTGGGAGAACTGCTAGCTGCACCGCTGTGCTGGGCTGCGCCGACCCCAAGCCCCAGGTCCGGGCGTTCTCGGACCCCTGGAACGGCGCCTTTGTGACTCGCACAGACGGACGTTCTCCCCTGGAAGGTGCTGGGAGGGTGCAGAGCCCTGAAGTGAGAAGCAGAACAGCCCATCAGAGGAAGGGGTTTTTTTTCGGAGGGCAAGAAGGGTAGCGACACTCTCTTCGGAGACACCCCTTACAGACTAATTGAACCCTCACAGCACTGCTTGACTCAATGACCGTTATCCTTCCGTGACTTGGTCACTCACACCGCCATTCAAGCTCCAATGTCCTCTCTTATTCACAGGAATCTCCTCCCACCTCACATTCGAGGTCCTTACAGCAATCCTACTGGGTGCATAATTTACATACACAAACGCAAAGGAACCCAGATCATCCTGCTTTGGAAACAAATACCCACAGGTGCAGGGGAATTTGTCCATCAATTTTCTTCAGGAGCACCCACCCTCATCCTCTGTGAGCTTAACATGGGGCACCCCAGTCTGATCCTGTTTACCTATGACCAGCACCATAGGTGGTCAGCATTTTTCACTGGCCTAACTGCGTTTGATTGTTTAAAGATAAACATTTCTTCATACAAATGGCCCTGAAATACAAGCCAACCACTTCCTCTGAGGCTAAACTCAAGAAGCAGCCACTCTGCTGAAGGGAACCGATTACTGGTTTTCTAGGGTAATTTTGATGCCCGTGATTTCCACCTTACCTCGAGCCACTTGAATGAATGGTAGCTCAGTCTCACTAAGCTCTCCATTCTCTTATCCCTAAACTCTTGGCAAGATGTGTTTTAGAAGTTACTGTGTTTGGGGTTTCAGAAAGGTGCTTTGGTGCACACGGAAGCATGTTGCCCCTGATGTTGCTGGCAACCATGTAACCGTGAGGGAAGTTAGTGGGACAGTGTATATTACAAATGAGATTTGGGCAACATGTCAAAATCAAACACACATTTCTGCAAGAAAACATTAATATTAATAAGTAGAATAAATAAAGATCATAAGCAGCTTCATGTCAGGCCTTGATGACTCACACAAAGTGTTTTGGGACAAGGTCACCAGTCTCATTTTACAGATGAGGAAGCTGAGGCTCAGAGAAACAATGACTTTTACAGTTAGTGGAGGATCCAGGATTTGAACCCAGAGCTGCCTCTAGAGACTCATGCTTCATCACAATTCTGAGTGAATCCACAGCTCCAAGCCTGAGAAGTTCTGGTAGCTGGTATCTACCATCTCTCTGATATTTAAAGGGCTGCTCTAGCCCTCGGCTCCATATATAGCCCAATGACTCATAATTTCAAGTGTCAACGACTGAAAAATGATTAAGTTCAATTAGGTTCAGGACTTGTTAAAAATAGGCTTCCCTCAGAAGAATTTACTCTCTCTGCCTTTATGGGCACAGATTTCAGCAGTCTCCATGCAGAGAAGTGCAAGGCTTTTTAAATTAGAACATGCCAGAATCAATTCTGCTAAAGGGATCTTCAGCTCCGTCAGCGGGGCTTGGAGCAGAGTGAGATGCCAACTTGCCAAAATGATGAGCCAGCGGTGAGAAGTGTTGGCGATAGCAGCATCTACAGAGTGGAGGAGGAAATTAGAATCAGGCTACAGAGGGGCTAGGCAAAGGCATTTGGCCACAGACCAGGAAGCTGATTGTCCAAATGACTCTTTGACAAGGAATCAGAAACCCACCTGAAATAACTCAAAATGATTTTTTTTTTTCTCTCCAGCATCTGTTCCCCTTCCTCCTTCCCAACGGATCCCAATTTGTTCAGGTAACCATCCCTCTCCCATTCAGCCTATGTGACCAGAAGAAATTGATTTTCGCACAAATCTCCAGAATCACTCTCAATTGCTCTTAGCCCGTCACAGCTATCCCATCCTCCTTGCCAATGATTGGACCTGGAAGCTAATTTTAAGCCAGTTTGTGCATAGCATTCTCCTGGAGATTGCAACTGACCCAGGAATTGGCACATAACTGACAATGGCCTAGTCAGACAGAAAGGAAGAATTTACAGGCCAGGGCTTTTTTTCTAGCTCCACAGATGGGAACAAGGAAGCACGTTGCCCTGCTGTTGCTGGCAGCCCTCCTGTAACCATAAGGGAAGGAAATGTGAGATCAAAGCCAACACGTTATACAGGGGGGAGCCTAAAGAGAACGGCATAACAGTGTAGCTGGAACTCCAATCATACCATACCTGAAATCTACCTTGGTCCCACACTTCTTGTTTTTGGTGTTTTTTTCTTTTTGGCCATCCCAAAAGGCATGTGGGATCTTAGTTCCCTAACCAAGGATCAAACCTGTGCCCCCTGTCCTGGGAGCTCAGAGTCTTAGCCACTGGACCACCAGGGAAGTGCCACACTTCTTGTTAAAGAAGTTAACACATTTTTTTGTTTAAGCCAATCCGGATTTCTGTTTCTTCTAGCCAAAAGTATACTAAACTATGTGAATATCATGGTTATTGCATGTAAACCAGAGGCAGATCCCTACGAGGAACAAGAACCAAGAACTAGAAAGCTGTCAGAAATCAAAATAGCTCCTCTCTCCAGCTCTCTCTCTCTTTTGAATCAACTGATCTCTCAACTTGGTCTCTTATTTTTAAAGACAAATTTCTCCTCCCCTCAGCTTGCTTCTTATGAATTCCCATTTTAAAGTCCACATTAAAAGAAATCAAGGTCTTCTGAATTTCAACTTCCCAGAAAAAAGAACCCAAATCCAAACCCAGTCTGGATTTGGTGTCCACTGTTGTGGCCAGGGGGCCACTATCAGGTGACGAAACTGCCCTTCCCCAGGCACTGTGAAAATAATTCTCAAAACAGGTGAGGGCACAGTCATAAAATGGGGAGAACTCTGGACCAGGTGTTACGATATCCAGATTCTAGTCCTAGCTCTGCCACTGAAGTGCAGTATGCTCTTAGGAAAGTCAGTTGACCTCTCTGAGCCTTAATTGCTTCAGACTGCCAGGGCCAAGTTGAGAATTTTAAAGCCTGAAAAGACTGTAAAATATTTCATCCCACTTACAGCACTGAAAATAAAAACAGTACTAATCCATAATATAAGGGTCAAGTAGTCTGATAGGATTCTGACTTCTGCCATGATGCTTTTTCAAATAAAATGATGCACCGTTTTGGGGAAAAGTGTCCCTACTTTACTGGTGCCCTTGGAACTGCTTTCATTTGTCTTTGGGTAACTCAGCAAAAGTTACCCCCTCCAGCCCAGCACTGCTGAGCGGCCTAATGGCCATGCTGGTGGCATGCGGTGTCACCCAACCCTGCCTTCTGCTATGACGGACTGGACAAGAACCCCTCGCCCAAGTTAGACAGAATTTAGACCCAAAAAAGTCCCTGAGAAACAAAAGACTGATGAATAGGGGGTGCGAGAGCCAGGAGACTGTGTGAAGTCAGGGCTGGGGCAGCCAGTTTTCCCCAAGTGTATGCACTTCTCGCAAAGAGTTGGACACGACTGAAGTGACTTAGTGTGTGCGTGTGTGTGCCCTAGCACACACACACACACACACTGCTCAGAGGTTGACTTTACACTAAGCCCTTCCCTCATGTCTTCCTTGCTGACAAAATCCTGATTTGTATTCTAGAATTGAGTATAGGACACTGAATCTACAGAAGGTGAGCCCACTGAAATCTTGGGGGCAGCCAATGAGATGTGAGGGAGTGTCCACTGGGAGGTTTGGGACAGATCCAAATGCTAGCTGAACCTCCACTGCACAGAGGTGTGAGCTGAAGTGCTGGGCCCAGGGGCAGAGGGATCTGAATTGTATTCCGGCCGCAGACCTGTAAACCCACCCAAGACTCCACAGACTGCCCAAATGCCTGTAATAATCTCCATGTCTGCACACACCAGCTTCTGTCATTTGCAGTCAGAAACATCATCTACCAAGAGAGTGGGCATTATTGGTATTTAAAAGCTTCAGATTATTCTTTAATGGGATCCAGAACTGCCCCACTCCTGACCTCCCTTTCACTGAAGCCAGAGTTGCCAATTATTATCTCAGTGGCAGACTTCTGAGATAAGAAATCTGCACACTCTACAGAAAGTAATGCAGTCTCATAGAGCAAGAGTGATAAACATGTTTATACTCTTCAACCCAGGAAACCTAAACCTGAAGATTCATCCTAAGAAAACAAGCCAATGGCAAAAAAAAAAAAAAAAAAAATTTTAAAGAAAAATCCATAGACACAAAAATGCCCATTGTAACATTATCTCTACAGGGGAATGAACCTGTGCTTTTGGGGTCAGAATCCAGGCTCTTTGGTGAAGGAGAGTTGGAGCAGTGATAACTGGAAGGGGACTCAAGAGGCTTCTGGAGTGCTGGGAAATTTCTGTTTCTTGATTTGGTTACATGGATAAGCTCCCTTGTGAAAATTCATCAAGCTGTGCACTTCTGACATGTCCCTTTTATATATGTATGAAAGTGAAAGTTGCTCAGTCTTGTCTGACTCTTTGCAACCCTATGGACTATACAGCCCACAGAATTCTCCAGGCCAGAATACTGGAGAGGGTAGCCTTTCCCTTCTCCAGGGGATCTTCCCAACCCAGGGATCAAACCGGGGTCTCCTGCATTGCAGGCAGATTCTTTACCAGGTAAGCCACAAGGGAAACCCAAGAATACTGGAGTGGGTAGCCTATCCCTTCTCCAGCAGATCTCCCTGACCCAGGAATTGAACCGGGGTCTCCTGCATGGTAGGCGGATTCTTTACCAACTGAGCTATCACGGAAGCCCTAATATATATGTATATTGCACTTCAGTGGGCTTCCCTGATGGCTCAGCGGGTGAAGAATCTGCCTGCAATGCAGGACACACGGGAGATTTGGGTTCAGTCATCACCAGTTGGGAAGATCCCCTGGAGGAGGAAATGGCAACCCACTCCAGTATTCTGGCCTGAAAAATCCCACAGACAGAGGAGCTTGGTGGGCTACAATCCAAAGGGTTGCAAAGAGTCAGACACGACTGAGCACACACACATACACATACATACATACATACATAAACACTTCAATAAAACAGCTCTCTACAAAGAAGGCCAACGGGAGGATTTTTTTGTGAGGGGAGGTGGTGACCACACTAGTTCCTTGTCTGGTT